GAGAGAAACACATTGATTGGTTGCCTCCTGCACGAGCTCTGACCAGGGCCCTGGGTCGGGGAAGAGCCTGCAAAAAGGTATGTGCCCTTGATTGGAATCGAACCCAGGACCCTTCAGTCCACAGGCCAACGCTCTATCCACTGAAGCAAACCAGCTAGGGATAGATAAGCTTTATTTTTTAATTTTTAAAAATGTATTAATTTGACAGAGAGAGAGAGGAAGGAAGAGAGAGAGAGAGAGAGAGAGAGAGAGAGAACCCAAGCGGCCTGGGAGGCGGCCTGGGAGTTTGAGGCCTGTGGACCTCCGCACACCTGTGGACCCCTGGCCAAGCCTGCAGTGGAAGGGCCTCTCCATGTGCCTGTGAACCCCCAGGCCAGCACAGGGGGGCAGGGATGCAAGCCTCACATCCCTAGACCCATTGCCGGGGTTGGGGACACAAGTCTCAAGTCCCCGGGCTGGCGCAGGGGGTGGGGACATAAGCCTCACATCCTGAGCCTGTTGCCAGGGGCAGGGATGCAAGCCTCATGCCTCTGGGCTGGTGTAGGAAGCGGGAACACAGCCTGCTTATCAGTGAGGTTGTCCCAAACAATTTGCATATTAGAGGCCCTCTGTACCAAATTTGTGCACTGGGAGAGGGTGGTCCCTCAGCCTCGCCTGCCCCTTCTCATAGTCCAGGAGCCCTTAGGGGATGTCGCCACTGCGGGAGGCAACCAGCCAATCAGGGGAAGGCACCATCCCCATCACCCCCTTGCTGCTGCTGTCTCTGGCCTCCCTCTGCAGGAGGCAACCCAGAGATCAGGGGAAGGTGATGCCCCCATCATGCCTCTGCTGCTGCCACTGCCAGCCGCAGGCTGCCTGAGCCTTGGCCATCGCAGCCACTGCGACTTGCCTGAGCCTCACCTGGGCCTCATTGCCTGAGCTTTGGGCCTGTGCAGCAGCAGCGGCCATCGGCATCTTGCCGGAGCCCCGGGCTGGCCCTGGGCAAGTGGCAGTGGCCATTGGCCACAAACTTCCCTGTGCTTAACCAATCAGGTGTGCTCATCCGGTGATGGGCAGACCGCGTCTTCCAGGGTTCTTCTGGCTGCAGGGGAGGGTACAGGTCTCCCTCGGGCCCTGGGTCACTGGGTCCGGCTGCTAGAGGAAATTCCCTACATTGGTTACCTGGACACCTGGAGGCCTCCACCGATTCCCAACCCTGACCCGAGGGGCGTTGAGGGCGATGGAGGCGGCCTGGGAGTTTGAGGAGCTGCAGGAAGGAGCTGCCTTTCTCAGAACCCCTGACCTGTGGTGCCGGAGGCCAAGGTGGGTCGTGGCTGGTCCAGGAGCTCTTAGCTGTGGAGCTTGGACTTTCCCTCGCTCACCTGCCTTCACTGCCAATGCGGAGGTTTCCCAGCAGAGTGGCTCTGCTGCCACTTGGCAGAAGGAACCTATTGTCCTTCTGGGCATACGGCAGTGGCCATTGGGAGCACTCACAGCCGCTGCCGCCATGTGGGAAGTACAGGCCGCCCTCCACCGGGCCCCGCCTCTCCCGCCCCTGTCCCTGATGCTGCAAGTCTCCGCCCACCCACCCCTGCTGCACATGCAGCCTGCTGATAGGTCATTACATGATGGTGTCCCAACCAATTTGCATATTACCCTATTATTAGATAGACTAGAAGCCCGTTGCACAAAGATTCATGCAATAGGCCTTCCTTCCCCTGGCTGCTGGCACTGGTTTTCCTCCAGCACCCGGGACCCAGGCCTTTGGTCCGGCCACAGCGGAGAAGCCAAGCCTTGAGGCTAGACTTCTCCGCTGCAGCTGCAGTAAGGCTTGGCTTCTCCCCTCCGGCTACAGCGAGGCATGGCTTCTCTGCTGCGGCTTCAGTCTTCAGTCTTCACTCTGGCTGGCCAGAGCCTTCGTTCTTCGCTCTGCACCTGTGTATGCAAATTAACTGCCATCTTTATTGGGTTAATTTGCATAGTTGCTCTGATTGGCTAGTGGGCATAGTGGAGTGACACCAATTTGCATGTTTCTCTTTTATTAGTGTAGCTATTTTTAAAGTATACTTTTATTGATTTTAGAGAGAAGATGGGAGAGGGATAGATAGAAACATAGATGAGAAAGAAACATCAATCGGCTGCCTCCTGCATACCCACTACTGGGGATTGAGCCCATCACCCAGGCATGTGCCCTGACAGGAAATTAAGCCAGGACTTTCTGGTTCATGGTCAACATTCAACCACTGAGCCACACTGACCAGGCAAAAGTTGTTCTGTTTTGATTCATTGTGTTTCTTTTCTTTTCTTTTTTTTAAATCTATTTTTATTGATTTCAGAGAGGAAGGGAGAGGAAGAGAGAGATAGAAACATCAATGATGAAAGGGAATCATTGATTGGTTGCCTCCTGCACACTGGACCAAGCCTGCCACCCAGGCATGTGCCCCTGATCGGAATTGAACCTGGGACCCTTAGGTCCACAGGCCGATGATGCTTTAACCACTGAGCCAAACCAGGCAGGGCTCATATTATATTTCTTAATAATTCTATTGTTAAGACAATCCATGAGAATTCTTGAATATCTTTGAGTCTTATAAAATACAAATAAACTCTTTGCTACTTCAAGTTATGTATGTATTTTTGTTACAGAACATTTGATAAGGTAATCAATAAAACTTTTAAGCATAAAATATGTTAGAAAGAAAATTCCATCGTGAAATGGATGGAAATATAAACTGAAGGGGAAAAAGGGACAATGTCAAAATTCTGACTATTGAACTTATTTGTGTAATTTTTTAATGGCTAGTGGGTAACAAGTTGTATGGACTTTACATTACATTGGATAACATTTCTTAAGTGATATAACAGTTTTATTCTTGCCAACATTATAATATCCAGAAATCAAATCCTTTTAACGATTTAAATTTAAGATGGAAATTCTTGATGTTGAAAGTACTCAAGGGAACGCATGCTTTTAAAATGTTCTTTTAGGAGATATGCAATTTAAAAAAATGTGTAAAGTTCATGTTTTTTCTCATGTTTGCTTCATGGAAAACAAAATTGGTGGTTCTGATTAGTCAGTCCAAAATTTCTTTGAAGATGTGTTATGGACTGTATTGTGTTCCCCCCAAATTCATATGTTGACTCTAATCCTCAATATGATTGCATTTGGAGATGAGGCCTATGTACTCCCATAGTTTTTTGTACTTTCTTCTATCAATATACAGGGTGTCCCCAAAATATATATATACACTTAACAGCTGATAGCTCAATTTTGAAGACAAAATGTATTTTAACAAACACTGCCTTTATAATTAGTCAAAGTATGTATATACATTATTTTGAGACACCCAATATTTTGGCACACTGAATTTTTTTTTTTTAATATATTTTATTGATTTTTTACAAAGAGGAAGGGAGAGGGATAGAGAGTTAGAAACATCGATGAGAGAGAAACATCGACCAGCCGCCTCTTGCACACCTCCTACTGGGGATGTGCCTACAACCAAGGTACGTGACCTTGACCGGAATCGAACCTGGGACCTTTCAGTCTGCAGGCAGACGCTCTATCCACTGAACCAAACCGGTTTGGCAAGGCACACTGAATTTTAACTTAATTTGTTTATTTTTGCCCTCCACAGTTTGTGAGCTCCTTGAGGATTAAAACCTCATTTTATTTATCTTTGCATTACCAGGCCTGATAAAGTACCTGGCATAAGTAAATGTATGTGTTGAGTACTTACTATAAGTACTATAATACCAAGTGTTCTTTAGAGTTATCTCTGTTCTCTTTCTGTGATACCTGAGGGGTAAGGCAAGCTTTGGGGTGGCCTGCTTAGCTGTGTCCCCCTTCTCTTCTCACTTTGGGAACTCCTAAGAGGACCGGGGCAGAGTCTTGGGTGGAGGAGACAGGGAATGAATAGTCTGTGAGGCCCTGGGCACAGGAAGATATCTCTACATCATGGACTTACTTTTCCCTGACTCTGTCATTCAGAGTATATTGTCTTCAAGAGCAATATTAGAGTGTGGATATCTAGGGTAAAGAGTGTAATTATTTAGAGAATCTTCTCTGTTTAAATATCACCCATGTTTCCCCCATCCCTTTGCCTCCAAACCTGTTTCCAAAATAAAACCATTGCACCAAGGAAGAGCTTATACAATGATGGGTTCCCATGTGCGTTAGCACTGGGGGGTCATGCAGGAGAAAAGCAGAAATAGCAATCACTGTATGCCCTACAGTGACAGCCACTACTGTATGCAGCTGCTCAATTAGGATTCTCTACTGACTCCTCCCTGAATCTTTAAAATGATCCTTTGAGAAGTGTGGGTCAAAAGGATTTGGTTATAGTTTTTGAAATATATTTTTACTAGAGGTCCAGTGCATGAATTCGTGCATAGTTGGGGTCTGGCTGGCCCAGCCCTGATCAGGGCCCAATCAGGGCCAGGGGGAGAGGCTGTGGGCTATAGGCTGGCGGGCGCCACCCCCAACTGGGATAGGGGGGCAATCGGGGATGGGACCGGCCAGGGGGAAGGGCTATATGGGTGGTTGAGCAGCTTCCCCAACCTTGATAGGGTGGGAGAGGCCCATTGGGAACAGGGCCAGCTGGGGGAGGGGCCACAGGAGGTTGGCTGGTCAGCCCCACCCCAGATTGGGCCAGTTTGCTGGCCGCAGTGGGTGTCATAGCAACCGGTCATTCTGGTCGTTACAGTGCTCCATTCACTGGCTTTTTATATATATAGATTGATTTCAGAGAGGAAGGGAAAGGGAGAGAGAGATAGAAACAATAATGATGAGAGAATCATTGATTGGCTGCCTCTGGCACAACCACACCCCCTCAACTGGGGATTAAGTCTGCAATCCAGGCATGTGCCCTAATGGGCAATCGAACTGTGACCCCCTAGTTTATAGGTCAACACTCAACCACTGAGCCACACTGGCCTGGCATGGGTCAAAAGGTTTAAAAAAGAAACCAAAATGTGAGTTTTGGTATCCAGAGAAATATTCACAGAGACAAGTACACAGATTTTCTTTTCAAGAAAAGATTTATTTATTTATTTAGTCTACTCCCAAAGCCCTAAATTACATCTTCCCTTAGATTTCACCTCTAGGAAGACATCCTTATCCTCCCTGTACCACTCTCTACCACCATCTCCTCTCTGGAGCGTCCCCTAACTGGCTAAACCACATCTCCCCCAGCAATCTTTCCTCTGTGATTGCTACTTCGTGTGACCATTCCTAGCTCTTCTCCCCCAACCCTTTATTTTGGCATCTAAGTATCTGTGAAGTAGTCAGAAGTAGCTGAGCTCCAGGCGGGGTGTTACCCACTCACTAGACAATCAGAGAAATCAAATTATCTGATGGAATGAGTTCTGCTTTAGGAGGCAGAAGAATGCTGTCCAATAATGTCACAGAGGATTGATGCAGTTTCTTCCCAACTTCTATCCTAGGGGGAAACAAAAACAAAAATGGAAGAACGTGTTCCTCAGAAAGTCTTTACAGTTGTAAAGGAGCTTTTCCCTATTTGAAAAGGAAAAAACCTCACAAATGCACAAAAATATATAATGTAAACATAATTAGAAAAATGCATTCATTTTCAATCAGATAAAAACATGTTGTTTTTTAAAAATCACATAGAACCCCTCATACAAATGGCATTATTAACTTTCCATGATGTGAACTATGGAGATTATTACTCCCTCTTCAAGAGTTTAGGACAAAAAAGAAAAGCCCATTTCTATCAAAAATAAGCTTCCAAAAGACAATAACAGTAACTCAGAAGAAGGTCCCCTTAACTTCTGAATATTTCCACACTACTCCAAAACCCATTCTTCTCTCTTCCAGGCTTACCTCATTCACAGGGATCAGAATACTGAATTATTGCTTGTTCATCTGTGAAATGAAATGACGTATTTTATTACATTGCAGGCTTCACACATTAGAAAGAAAATATTTCATAAAAGCTATTGTTTTAGTCCTTCTCAAAGTATCCCTACAGGTTATAGTCAGAATTATAGGAAGGTTCCAAACACTAATATTTGCACTTTTATGGTAAATTATTAATCACAGCAAGAATATTAATAGTTAGCCCTTAGAGAACAATGGTCCACATTTTTCTTTTGGTCTGTTGACCACATCCTACAAAATATCTCTAATGCCGAAGACTTTTTTAAATGGCATATAATTAAATTAAAGTATCTTAAGAGATCAGATAATTTATCTATATAAAAGGCTAATATGCTAAGTGTCCTTCCCACTGTCCAACCAGTTGCTATGATGTGTACTGACCACCAGGGGACAGACTCTCCGACCGGTAGGTTAGCTTGCTCCTGGGTCCGGCTGACCAGGATCGGGACTGGGCGAGCCGGGCCGGATATGCCCTGGAGCCCTCCCACAGTCCCTCCCCAGCCCCGATCGTGCACCGGTGGGGACCCTTGGCCTGGCCTGTGCCCTCTTCGCAATCTGGGATCCCTCAGGGGATGTCAGAGAGCTGGTTTCGGCCCAATCCCTGCAGGCCAGGCCAAGGGACCCCACTGGTACATGAATCCGTGTACCAGGCCTCTAGTATAATTATATGATACTTGCCATGGAAAGGAATATTTGTAAAATTAGGAGAGATATTTTATTTTATTAGTATTTTTTTAAATCCTCACCTGAGGATATGTTTTTATTGATTTTAAAGAGAGAGGAAGGGAGAGGAAGAGAAGAGAGAGAAAAAATCATGGATGCAAGAGAGAAAATGATTGGCTACCTCCCTCACACACCCCAACTGGGATTGAACCTGCAACCTGGGCTTGTGCCTGACTGGGAATCTAACCTGCAACCCTTTGGAGTGACCTGACACTCCAACCAATTGAGCCACACCAGCCAGGGCAGGAAAGATACTTTAAAGAATGAGGAGAATTCTGTTGGGAGATGCAGGTGAAGCTCAGCCCTCACCTGGTAGGTAGTAATCATAGACTCTGATCGTTGCTGGTTTCAGGTTGGTGACTAACACACTTTGGCTGATGGTGAAGGTATAGGTCTGAGTCTTCTTACTGAGCTATGGGGAAGATGGACACCATGTTACATTAAAATTAAAATGGAAATAATCTATGTAATGTGGAGGTTAAAAGATTTTTTTCTTCACACAGATTTTCTGAAACTCTTCTATCTGTCCCTTCTGAACTACGCCAGGCTGAAAGGTACTGCCTCCTGCTGACTGTCTGGCTCTTTCTTCTCAGGATCTTACAGCTTCCTGGCCCTTCTGTAAAATGGTTCCCTCCGTCCTCGGTCTACTTTAACCTATGACTCCTCCACTAAATTAACTGACATGGCCAAAGAAACATAGATATTTCTCCAACAGCTTTCCCTACCTTCCTTCCTTCCTTCCTTCCTTCCTTCCTTCCTTCCTTCCTTCCTTCCTTCCTTCCTTCCTTCCTTTCTTTCTTTCTTTCTTTCTTTCTTTCTTTCTTTCTTTCTTTCTTTCTTTCTTTCTTTCTTTCTTTCTTTCTTTCTTTCTCATTCAGGTCTCTGATCAAATGACATCCTCAGGAGGCCTTTCCTGACTACCTTATTTTAAAATAGTCACATCCTGGTCTACTCCCACCATCACTCTATCCCCTTATCCTTCATAGCACTTACTATCGAAATTACTAACGAATGTGTGTGAACACATATATATATGTATTTTTTAATTTGCATCATTTGTCTCTCACTAGGATATTAACTCCATGAGGACAGGGATCATGTCTGTTATTTTTACTGCTGCATCTCCATCACAATGAAGAGTGTCTGGCATAGATTGGTTGCTCAATAAATATTTGTTAAATACGTGAATAAATGGAGAATTTAAGATAATTGTATAAATTAATCTAATATAATCAGAAAATAAGATTCGTGTTGTACATTTAGATATGGAATTACAAATGCCTAATAGGAAGAGATTTCCAAAAGGAATTTTTTAAGGTATAGTGCCTCTCAAAACGTGGTCCAGGAAGTCTCAGGGAACCCCAAGACTATATCTAGGGTTCTGCGAGATCAGGATTATTTTTGGAATAATGCTTTTATCGACTCTCATTCTCTTTGATGTACATGTGTACAGGGGCTATTTGATGTGTGATAATGCAGCGGATTGACTACAGAATCAGATAGAACTTCATTCTCTTCAATGAAGCCAGATGGCAAAGCAAAAATGTAAAACAATCTGACATTCTTCTTACTATTTTTTTTGTTATAGAAAATATAGTTTTTTCAGTTCTTGGCTACCTACCTCTTCCAAGTAAATGTTAAGTGTGTCAGTTCCAGATTCAATCTTCTTTACCAGTGGTTGCTGGAGAAGCTGAATAAGAAAGGAGAAAAAAGAGTTTAAGAGCCAGCGCCTTCCCTGTCCCCTAGGGAAAGCTTCCAAAGCTCTGTCATGGTCAAGGAAACAATGTACACGGTGGAAAAGGTAAGAGAAGGAACAAACCTATTACAGGCTCCATGTCATATATCTGATGCCCCTTTGTAGCCATTTAAATATTACAATCATGAGTTGTGTGTGGATATACACACACACACACACACACACACACTAGTAAAATGCCCATTTCAATAGCATTTTTTTTTTTTCAAAAAGAATGGAAGGGAGGGGGAGAGACACAGAGAGAGAAACATCGATGTGAGAGAGACACACTGTGAGAGAGACTAGTTGACTCCCGCACGTGCCCCAACCAGGGCCAGGGGTTGAGTCTGCAACCAAGGTGTATGCCCTTGACCAGAATCAAACCCACACCTCTTCAGTCTGCAGGCCAATGCTCTAACTCAGGGGTGGGAAAACTTTTTGACTCGAGGGCCACAATGGGTTCTTAAACTGGACCGGAGGGCCGGAACACAAGCATGGATGGAGTGTTTGTGTGAACTAATATAAATTCAAAGTAAACATCATTACATAAAAGGGTACGGTCTTTTTTTTTTTTTTTAGTTTTATTCATTTCAAACGGGCCGGATCTGGCCCGCGGGCCATAGTTTGCCCGCGGCTGCTCTAACTACTGAGCAAAACTGGCTAGGGCTCACCAGCTTTTTAAAAATATATATATTTTTATTGATTTCAGAGAAAGAGAGGGAAAGAGAGATAGAAACATTAATGATGAGAGAGAATCATTGATCAGCTGCTTGCTGCATGCCCCATACTGGGGATCGAGCCTGCAATCCAGGCATGTGCCCTTGACCAGAATCGAACCCGGGACCCTTCAGTCAGCAGGCTGACGCTTTATCCACTGAACCAAACCAGCTAGGGCTCACCAGCTTTTTATGATAAAGTTAGGTCCCCTGGGGGCTAGTAAATGAAGAAAAGAGAAGTGACTTACTAACTGATCGGTGCCCTCCATGGGATTGAACCCAGAAAGCATCTTCACTTCCACAATGGCCATATTGGAAGAGCTGCGACTGCCCACATAACTGAGGGCAGAAAGAAGCAAGTGTGTGAGCCCATGATTTTCCCTCTCAGCATACTCTGTCCCCAATACACACACACACACACACACACACACACACTCTCTCTCTCTCTCTCTCTCTCTCTCTCTCTCTCTGTCTCAACTCAGCTTCTATGATCCAGGTGCCCCCACCACAACTTCTGCCTTCCTCACCTTGTGCAGATAGTGAGAGTCAAGGATCGAGGTGAAGTTGGTTGATCACATCTAGCTTTTCCCATTTCCACACTAAGACTAAAGGTCTCCACATTTTTAGGAGGGAAAATATTGTATCTCAGCACTGTCTAGTATGAAGAAACAAGAGAACCAAATTTGAGTTGAGAAGAACTTTAGATATTGCAGAGCTAAATTATTTTCCTTACAAACAAGGTAGACAGATAGAGAGGGACTGTTCTAACTGGAGGTGAAGATGCTCTCAGCGCCACCTTCCCAAGACACACTTGTTCTCACATGGATCACTGCTTACCTGCACATAGACACAGCCCTGTCCTGTGGCCTCCAAGGTGTATACCCCAGGGACGTTGGGCAGAGTCTCTTGCTGAAATACCAACCGGTTGGCAGCCTGAACACTGAAAGTGCGCTGGAAATTCTCAGTGGACTTTACAGCCAGGTTGACCTCCTCAGATGGCACATAGGCAGTGGTGGCATATTTGGCCAGAGCTTGGAGAGCAACTACAGTATCCTGAGGAAAACAATCAAGCATATGCTTACCATTTTGTGAGGCATTGGAATTAACCTCAAACAACCCTGTAACCTATACAGCTGGTGGTGGTTTGATAGCTTAGTTGATATATCTTCTATGTATCTAAGAACCACATTCACCTACACTGGGGAAGCTGACATAGAAATCGTAATGTCTCACCTGTATATAAAATCTCAATTGAGTTATTATTGAACATCCATAAGTCACTAGCTAATCTCATATATTCATATTCAGCAATCAAACCTAGCTTCAGAACAGGCTACTGTTAGAAGCAAGTGGATAACAGTATATATTTTGCAGTTTCCTTATTTGAGGAAGAAACAGCAGCAAGTTGGTAGCCCTAGATAGTGCACATTTTTCAGTTATTTAACTATGTAATAATCTTCTATGGCACAGTTGAAGAGAGTATTGGGAAATCCCTCCTTGCAGGCCAAGGCTTCTTAGCCATTATGCCATGTGACAATCCTCTTTTCTCATCTGGGAATAAGACAGGTCATCTGTCACCAAGAGGACCTGGCATCATGTAGCTTGAACCTTTCCAGTCTGAAAACATTTTCTCTTTATTTATATAAATTACAACTGTGAGGGGATGGGAGGCGAGGGAGAACGAAGTATTGTCCTCTCTTATTCTGTGTTATGAGAATTTCTACATTCTCAACACTTAATATGATAGCTATTACTGAATAAAGGAACCCACTTCCTCCTGTCCCAAATGAAAGACAACAGTCGTATTTAGATATTACACTGTCACATAAAAAGAAGAAGACATGTCACTCTCCTGGGGAAGCTGTGAACAAGTCATTCTTTTGCAGCTTGACAATCGACAAACAACTTTTGTCTACCCTCTGTGAACTAGGACCAAGGAGGGCTTTATTGTTTGCACATGTGAAACAATTCAAGTAATGGGACCACACATCAGCTCAAAAACTGATGTGGGTGATACATGACTTCTTAGAATAGCCAAGGGTTATAGTAAAAAACAATTCTGGCATACATCTGTCACTGAGAATTCTAAAGACTTGATGCACTGCTTTTTAAAATTATATATTGTAGTTATTTAGGGCTCAACAAGAAGAAGGAAGTCTTTCCTGATCTTTGGCCAAGAATTTCCCTGAAATAAGGAGGCAGTGTACCATATAATATTTTAAAATTCCAATTAAATTATTACCATACTCAAGCTCAGTGCACTTAACATCTTTACCAGACACTCTACCTGTTAAAATCTGTTCATTCTTCCATGCATAATTTACATGTTATAACTTCAATGAAAATGGCCCTAATATCAAAAATAATATAATCTCTATGTGGACAAGAAATGTGTTTTCTTGTTTACTTTTGTATCTTCGGTAACCTGGACATGGTATGTTTTAATAACATTTGCAGAACAAATAAATTAATGATGACTCTCTTTGTGATCATCTGATCATTTTATGACATTATTTAAATTTATCATACCTTTTTCCCCAATTGTTACCCCACTAATTCAATTTCTCCTTAACCCTAATCTAAATAAATGAAATAATCTCCTAATCTCTTCAAATCCAGTACTTCCCACCTCTAAATCATCCCATACACCAAGTAACAGATTAATCTTTCTGAAACAAAGTTAAAAAATTTAAGCGCTCCTCAGAATTAGGCAAAATCTTGAGTCTAATATGTAAGGCTCTTCATACCAGTAACATGAACTGACCCTACCTTTCCAACCTAAGTCCCATTGTGTTTCAGCCAAATCAGTTTTTCGCAACAAACACTATACTTTTGCAAATTCCTCTTCCTTTCAGTAGCTGCCTACCAAAAGTTTACATATCCTTTTAGATCTACCTCAAATGCAATTCCCCTGTGAAGACATTTCTTATCCCTCAAGCTGATGAGAGCTCCCTCTCCTTTTTGAAATTCAATATTTATACCTTTTGTATCTTTCTTATGTTATATAACCAAACCCTGCTTTGTAATATATAGAACTTTTCCTAGCTTTCTTTCTAGGTTGTAAACTTTTTGGACTACCGATATATCTTACTAGTTAATTGTAGAAAGAGGTAAAGCTTGCTTTTATGCTTACAGCTCCCATAATTGGCTTTCTAATTTAATATATAAATTTATCCATACTTATACATGTCCTCTTTACATATAAAATATGAATCTCATGATGCTTTATACTCTGCAAAGAGCGAGCATTAAATGCAGATAGTACTATTTATGACTCACAAGACCCAATTTATGGCTCTATATATTTTTTACATGCTTTTTCTCCCTCTCTATAGAATTATAAGTGCCTGGACCTAGAGGACAAGAGCAATAGTTTTTCCTCCATCTCCACATGGGATCTAATCCTACCTGATAAGTGGCAGTGGAGAGCAAGCTATTTACCTGAGTGGAAGAGAAGCCCCCATATGCATTACGTTGCTTGGCCAACCAAGCCACTATACCAGTGGCTTTGGCTATTTCCTTTTGAGTCAGATTGGCTTTGCTAAGCCAAGCCAGCAATACATATGCCGTAAGTTCCACATCTACAGCCTCCAGCTTAGACCAAGGACTGGCATCCGATGGCTGAGTAGGTTTTTGGCTCCAGTGAATGGACTCTCCTATGGGGAAAGAAGCATAATTAGGAAGGTCTTGGGAGGAAATGACTTTCCCATATTCACTTCATAAATGCTACACCTTAAAGCAGATAAAATACCAACAAAAATTAATCATGAGTTACAAAAAATTATTTCTCAAGATCTTCTGATTTATTGGCCCTAATATATATGCAGGTGTGTGTGTGTGTGTGTGTGTACACTCACACATAATTCCCCAAAGTAAATGCCTCTAGCAATTATATGAAAACAGCCCTATAAATTCTAATTCTAATTCTAACAGAGATACGTAGATAGAAACTTCCTAAAAGAATCTTACACATTTGGGGCATGTTTTTGGCTAATAAAACTTTATTAATTTTCAGCATTTTTTTTTTTTACTTAATCAGAGTGATCTTACACCAAAGAATTGTTTCATACCTGCAAAAGGGTAATGTTACAATGCCAGGAAGTTTTCCGACTAGCTCATACCATCTATCTCCTCTTCCTGTTAAAAGTATAGCAATGCCTTTGAGGACTTACATGGGCTTTCCCACAAAACTCTCAACAATGATTTTATGACAATAAATTTTAATAAAATGAATCCTAGAATTGAATATATGTGGGACTATGGAGATGAGGGGAAATTATAGATAACTCACAGCATATTTTCACAATTTCCAAAAATTCTTAACATGGCCAGCACACCTGAGATGATAGCCTGCTGCTCTAACTGTTCCAGAAGAATGTCTCTGATGTCCATCACCCCAGCCAGAGAGAAAGTATAAGCTAGTAGGGCCTGTGTGTAGAGGTTGGTGGTGGAGGAGACAGAATTCCTGAGACACTGCAGTCCCCGACTCACCATTGGGTCCTAAAAAGTGAAAGTGAAGAACTGAATTTATAAGGCATTTCTTGTAAAATGGGAAGGGATGAAGAAATCATCGTATCTTCTTTGAGTTTAAAAGGCTGAGTAGGGGAGAACCAAGATGGCGGCATAGGTTAACGCTGGAGTTTGCTGCTTTGAACAACTACTTCAAAAGTGAAACCAAAAAACGGAAGGGACATCACCCAGAACCACAGGAACGCTGGCTGAGTGGAAGTCCTACAACTAGGAGGAAAGAGAAACGCATACGGACACTCAGAGGAGGCGCAGTGCTGAAGTCAAATTCTGAGGTGCGGAGTGCGCGGAGCGGGCTGGCGGCGGAGGGCGCGGTTGGCGTTTTCAATCGGGAGGGAGTCGCAGACTCTGAGCTCCAGATCTGGGCGAGTCTTTAGGGACCCAGACTCAAACGGGAGAAGCGGGACTGTCTGGCTTCGGTCAGAGCGAGTGCAGCTTTCTCTCTGAGCTTTGCAGCGGGTGCTGGGACTCAGAGAGGCAGAGCCCCTGGGGACAGGACTGAGAGCCGCCATAACTGCTCTCTCCGGCCCACCCTGTTGATCCTGTGCGACCTGCCCCGCCCAAGCCCTGCACACAGGCATTTGCCGGATAGCCTCAGACAAAGCCTAGATTAGCACCTCCCTAGAGGACAGAAGTTCTCTCACTGCTGACGCAGCTGATTCTCATAGCCACTTGGCCTGGAGGTCAAACCCTCCCTGGAATTAGCTACAACAATCAAGATTTAACTATAAGACTGTGAACAAAGACCACTAGGGGGTGCACCAAGGAAGCATAACAAAATGCGGAGACAAAGAAACAGGACAAAATTGTCAATGGAAGATATAGAGTTCAGAACCACACTTTTAAGGTCTCTCAAGAACTGTTTAGAAGCCGCCGATAAACTTAATGAGATCTACAAGAAAACTAATGAGACCCTCGATCTTATATTGGGGAACCAACTAGAAATTAAGCATACACGGACTGAAATAACGAATATTATACAGACTCCCGACAGCAGACCAGAGGAGCGCAAGAATCAAGTCAATGATTTGAAATGCGAGGAAGCAAAAAACACCCAACCGGAAAAGCAAAATGAAAAAAGAATCCAAAAATGCGAGGATAGTGTAAGGAGCCTCTGGGACAGCTTCAAGCGTACCAACATCAGAATTATAGGGGTGCCAGAAGATGAGAGAGAGCAAGATATTGAAAACCTATTTGAAGAAATAATGACAGAAAACTTCCCCCACCTGGTGAAAGAAATGGACTTACAGGTCCAAGAAGCGCGGAGAACCCCAAACAAAAGGAATCCAAAGAGGACCACACCAAGACACATCATAATTAAAATGCCAAGAGCAAAAGATAAAGAGAGAATCTTAAAAACAGCAAGAGAAAGAAACTCAGTTACCTACAAGGGAATACCCATACGACTGTCAGCTGATTTCTCAACAGAAATTTTGCAGGCCAGAAGGGAGTGGCAAGAAATATTCAAAGTGATGAATACCAAGAACCTACAACCAAGATTACTTTATCCAGCAAAGCTATCATTCAGAATTGAAGGTCAGATAAAGAGCTTCACAGATAAGGAAAAGCTAAAGGAGTTCATCACCACCAAACCAGGATTATATGAAATGCTGAAAGGTATCCTTTAAGAAGAGGAAGAGGAAGAAAAAGGTAAAGATACAAATTATGAACAACAAATATGCATCTATCAACAAGTGAATCTAAGAATCAAGTGAATAAATAATCTGATGAACAGAATGAACTGTTGATTATAATAGAATCAGGGACATAGAAAGGGAATGGACTGACTATTCCTGGGGGGGAAAGGGGTGTGGGAGATGCGGGAAGAGACTGGACAAAAATCGTGCACCTATGGATGAGGACAGTGGGTGGGGAGTGAGGGCGGAGGGTGGGGCGGGAACTGGGAGGAGGGGAGTTATGGGGGGAAAAAAAAGAGGAACAAATGTAATAATCTGAACAATAAAGATTTAATTAAAAAATAAATAAAAAATAAAAAATAAAAGGCTGAGTAGGGACAAAAAATAGGTGAATTTATCTAGAAATAGGCGAGATAAGAAGAATATAAAGAAGAGGAGCCAGAGAAACGCACATCTGTGGTCTTTTTCATCTCCAGCAATGCAGCTGTGATATATGCCGTCAAGGAGATCTCATCGTCAACACCACCCTAAAGGGAAGCAGGGAGACAGTAAGTCAGGGGGCAGCCGGCACATGCAAGAATTGTATATGTAATACCTTAATCAATAAAGAAAAAAAAATTTTTTTTAAGTGTCTACCTACCTGCCACTGCCCCCTCCCCCATCTAAATGGTTGAATTACTTAAAAAAGAAAAAGAAAAAAAAAGCCCTGGCTGGTGTGGCTCAGTTGGTTGAGCGTTGTTCCATGCACCAAAGGTCACCTGTTTGATTCCCAATCAGGGCACATGCCTGGGTTATGGGCTTGATACCCAGTAGGGGGCAAGCAGGAGGCATGCAGGAGGCAGCCTATTGACATTTTGCTATCACATCGATGTTTCTCTCTCTCTCTCTCTAAAAATCAATAAAAATATCTTTGAAAAAAGAAGAAAACAAAAGCACTCCTTTCCACAGGCTGACTCCAGGACACACAATGAGGGAGAACTGGGCGGAGTTCAACCACTGCACAGCCTTAAACAGTAGCCTGTGGGAGGTAACAGGAGGTCTTCAGCTCTGAGAGGGTATTAAGGAAACCCAAGAGACAAAGAGATTAAAAAAAGAGGGGGGTGGTAAAAAGAGACTTCTTATTCTCGGATTCTTATGGAATCTGAGCCTCCTCAAATGGATGTCCCCTCAAGTAGCACAAAGCCCAGCCTCTTCTCCAGGGCAGAGTAAGTGACACCTTCCCTGTTTAACGTCTTTCACAGAAAGATTTAACAAATTTTAAACAATATTTCATCTGAATTATTTTTCTCATTTTAGAGATAAAAGGAAAAACACTTACAGAGGTATTTAAATAGCTTGTTCAAGATTGCACAGCTAATAAGCAGGACTGGGATTTGAATCCAGGGAGTTTAACTCTGGAGCTCCTATGCAAATCACTAAAATTGACTGTACATATGATAGTCAATAGGCCGGTAGCTCTAATCAGAAAGGAGGACAAAAACCTCTGAGATCTTGTTCAGTTTCCGGCATGTACAACTCCCAGGTATATATCACACAGGGCATAAGAGAAGGAAGAGACTTGGGAAGTACAGATAACATTCAGCATAAGGAATACTAACAAATCTTATACTGAGATTTTTTTCAATGCTCCAGATTTTTAATCCAGGTCCTTCAACAGCACTGTAAATAATTCCTTTAGGAAAATTCATGCAAATCTTTCTTTCACTGGCATGTTCTGAATTGAACAAGTTATCCTGCACATCAACACCTCCCCTGTGTTTGGGAGGGACAGACAACGGAGTAATGGGCAGGCGCAGTGTCTCTGGAGTCCAGTTGCTGGGTTCAAGTTAGTCCTACCACTCTTTAGCATTCACCTTGAGCATTTATTTAATCTCTGAACCTTAGTGTCTTCATCTGTAAAATGTGATGAAGAGGGCATACCAGTGCCTAGCTCAATGATTTGTTGTGAACATTAAAATATGTCAAATAAATAAAGTACTTAAGAACAGTGCCCCACAGAGAGTAAAACCCCTTACAAATGACTGGGCTGCCTAATAGCGCCCATCAAAGCAAATCACTTTGCTTCAGATTTAGAGATATAATAAAAGGCTCAGAGATTGTCTAGTCCACTGGTTATCAAACATTAGCAAGTATCAAAATAGTCATGCGGATGTAAAGTACAGCTTAGGAAACACAGTCAATAATATTGTAATGACTATATACGGTGTTGGGTGGGTACAAGACTTATGGGGGGAAGAGTTATATAAATGTCTAACCACTGTGCTACACACCTGAGGCTAATACATTGAAAAGTAAAAAAACATATTTTAAATAATAAAAATAATCAAACCTTGAGAAAAAGAAAAGCCCAACACTGTAGCAAGTATCAGAGTCATGAGGGCTTCTCAAAACACAAATTGCTGGCCCACACCCCCAGGGTTTCTCAGAGTAGCTCCGGGCCAGGGCTGGAATTTGTATTTCAAACAAGTTCTTAGGTGATGCTGATGCTGTTGTTCTGGAACCACACTTTGAGAACCATGCTCTAGTTCATACTCTCATTTTATAGACACGGAAGCTGAGGCTCAGACTGGCTAAGGATATTGACCAAGTCACCCAGAGACTAGACTGAGACCTGACAACACCAGTTCCCAGGCCAGTGCTCTTCTGATTCAGCTCAGTCAGAGGTACAAGTACCTCCCAGAAACAGTGTGGGGGCAGGGCCTGGGCAGATCTGTACCTTCATAGCTGTGTGCATGAGCTTTCCCACATTGGCATAGCAGCCGCTGGGGAGCTGATTTCCCGCCATCCACTTGAGAGCATCCTGGATGTTCTTGTCATCAATGAAGATGAATTCCTGAGCTTGGCCAAAGCATTTGGTGACAAAGGCTGTCAGCCTATTGGGTAAAGAGGGAAGCATGGCATGAAGGGGGATTTCTAGGTGAGGGTGCCATAGTTCTATAGTTTATTATGGTGTATGGTTCCAGAGGGAAGTTGAGGAAATATGATGCCCTAGAAGGCCTGGAAAAGGGGGGTATTTATAGGCATTAATGAGGACAAGAACTGGGGAGGCATAAGGTCAGGGAGAAGACCATACAAGTGGCTGAAATAAACAGAATGAAAGAGGTAGAGGATAGAGTGCAAGAAGGAATGGCATTAAGGGGACAGGTAGAGGAATAGTTCCATTCAGAAATTATGGCTGAAACTGGTTTGGCTCAGTGGATAGAGCATCAGCATGCGGACTGAAAGGTCCCAGGTTTGATTCCGGTCAAGGGCATGTACCTGGATTGCGGGCACATCCCCAATGGGAGATGTGCAGGAGGCAGCTGATGGATGTTTCTCTCATCATCGATGTTTCTAGCTCTCTATCTCTCTCCCTTCCTCTCTGTAAAAATATCAATAAAATGTATTTTTTTAAAAAAAGAAATTATGCTTCTAGGGTATAGAATCCTATATAATAAAAGGCTAATATGAAAATTGTCCCCTCCACCAGAGTTCAACCAGGAGTTTGACCAGGGAGCAGGGCTGGCCAGCCAACCACCATGGCCCCTCCCCCAACCAGCCCCTTCCCGAACAGCCCTCCAACCCCAATTGGGGGCGTGTCTGGCCAGCCAACCACCCACGGCCCTTCCCCCTGGCTGGCCTTGCCCCTGACCAGCCCTCCCACCCCGATCAGGGGTGCCCAATCGGCCCCAATCAGGGCGGCCAGCCAGACCCCACCTGTGCATGAATTCGTGTACCAGGCATCTGGTGAATTGATAATTGGGACATATTACCATGTGTTTCCATTTCCATCCTTCTCCCCAAAGGCACTGTATGAGCCATTGCTGTGTTTGTACATTAGCTCCTTCTGGTACCCTGGGAAGCCAGATATAGTTTTAGATCACAGTGACAACTTCAAAAAACACCCCCTATGGCTTTCAAGGATGTGGGACATTTCAGTGGCTGAACTTTCCTGTATCTTATCAAGCTATCATCGGCCCTAGACAAGGTGACCAAGAAGAAATATTAAACCAACTCACCTATCTCCAGGAAACCTACTGCCCGGGACCTGATTTCCTTGGTCAGCAGCCCTGACTTCTCCAGGTACTGCAAGACATAGATAATGGGAGCAAACAACACCATGTTCTGCTCCCCGCAGCCGCTTGGCATCTGCACCAGATTGTCTAGGTTCTGCAGGGCTGTGCCCATAATGTCTCCTGGGATCCAAAGGAGAGAGAAAGAAGGTGGTGGTAGAAGAAGGAACCCATAAAAGTTATTATCATTCACTTAACATTATTCAGTATCTACTTGGAGATCTTGGAGATCACAGTAAGTCAAACATGTCTCTACCTCAAAGAGCTCATAATCAGAGGGGCAAAAAATTACAATACATTGCAATTATAAATCATTGTAAACAATATAGTAATACAATATAGTAGTATAATATAGTAGTACAATATAGTAGTACAATGTATATAGTAGTACAATATTGGGAATGTACAAGGTACTGTAGTATATGGAGAGGTACATAGGCCACCTGAGGGAGTTTTGGGCTTTAAAAAAAAAACAGGTCACTGGAGATGTGAGTGATGTAACAAAACTGGCAATACTTAGACTCAATCGCTAAGTTCCTCCACTATATATATGTACACCATCCTCCAGATCACCATATCCTTCCCAAATATACACAAACCTGATACTGCTTTCCAAGTTATATCTATTGACCACTCCGTATACTTCATAAGCCAGGAAGCCTGAACTAAATGACTCATGAACATCTAACTGCATTTGAGCTGTGGAATCCAATTCAAATGCATAAATATGTACTGAATGTCAACTATGTTGTAGGAAATGTACTAGGAACAGAAATAAAAAAGACATGGCCCTTGTCCTCAAGGAGTTCATAGTGCACTGTAGAAGACAGGCAGTGAGCTGTAATTCAATTATAGCATTGTGAGCGCTATCCCGGAGATATGAACCAAATACAGTCAAAGTGGGCAAATCTTAACCTGGAAGGGATCTTGAAAGGGGGTGAGAGTAAAGAAAGAACCTACCATTTTAGGGGTTTCTATTATAAGCTAGATATGCTGGGAACTTTGTATTTAATCTACACCAATTCTGAGAGGTAGGTTATTATCACTGCCTTCCAGAGAGAAAAGAAGGATTGGAATTGTTCACTAACTTATTCAAGGTCACATGGCTGTTAAATGGCACAACTGAGATCCTAACTCAGTTTGATATGATTTTCCAAGATCATGCTTTTCTACTCACTCCCTCTCCTTGCCCAAAGGAGTGAAGTGTCCTGCCTATGTAAATATGGTTGAACCTTTCCCAAACTATACTCAACTAGACCAAGCGCTCATTTTTTAAATGGTTGCTGTAAACAGTTTGTCTCCCCTCCACCCAATTGATAGATCACCTAAACCTAAATACATATCAAGCTTCAAAGACCTTCAACTTCCTTCTGCCCATATTCTTTTCTGTTTTTAACTAGAGTCTACGGCTGTCCAATCTAGCTGTACCTGGCCATATTCCCCACTATATAAAATAAGTTCTTCTTCCTTCATCACTTCTAATCCACCACACCTTCCTTCAGGTAGGTTTACATGCCCCACCCCACTCCACTCCTTGGCAGCCTCCTTTCTGTTTTGAGCCAAGAAACTCTAACTGCTTACCCAGAACGGCAACATAAGCCTTGGTTGAATCAGGAACAACATCCACAGGGAGTTCCAGGGAGATGGATTCTGCAGCCACTTTTCCTGTGAGAGACAACAAAAAGGTGAAACAATAGAAGGTAGAAGGTGGAAATGGTGGGGTTCTTAAGCCCAGACCATAGAAAAACTTTCCATAAGAGTTTCCTGGATCCAGGGCTTTCTGTTGGATGGAGACAGATTTTTAAATCTATTCATAGTGATTCTTGCTGAAAATATATTCCAAAGAGAGTCATGGTTGTGTTGTACATTTTCTCTTCCTCCTCCTGCCTCCCAGCTAATTGGCCCCTTTGAGGATGTCACCCCCTGGATGCTGCTATACCTTTTTGTCCTGTATATTCCGCCTTTTGCCTAAGAAAATCTCTTGCCTAAGGGAATCCTCACCACCAACCCGTCTCTGAGTTCACCCACCTTTGGGGCACAGCAATGAACTGTGTGTCTTCTCCACAAGAACTCCCTCAGGCTGACATAAAAAGAAACGTAGATGAGTAAATACGATGAGGATGAATGTCAGGGCAGGTGGCACTGAAGGTACAGGCAGGGAAAGGGAAATGGGGAGGAGAGGTCCTTCCTGTGCCCTCCGGGCTTCTATCCGAGCTGGAGCTACTCTTTGTAGCTCAGGAGGACTCCACTTCAACCCAGGGATGGGCATCTCAGTAAAATTCTTTCTGGGCAAGGACAAGACCTAAGGACATCATGAACCCCCATGTAATTCTGTAGAATTACATGGGGGTTCATGATAGGATTAAAAAAAAGTAGCTAATGATAACTTTAGTGATTTTAATAGGAGAAACTAGCATTCATTGAGTGACTATGAAGTACCAGGCACTAGTAAAGTGCATTAGGCTTTTTCCTAGACCATTGGTGTGGGTTAAGGAAATCATTAACAGTAGAAAGGGACCAGGGAAGAAGAAAGGTGAGCTAACTGATTAGAGTTGGAATAGGCTGCTGTGAGAGACTCACCGGTATGTTAGACACACACTGAACATCCCTGGGTTGGTGGCTATCTGTACCTCTGAAGCTAGGCCTGCAGAAAACGCACCTTGACCAGAACTGGTTTGATGAGTGTGTCGCTCCGGCCCTTTGCTGGAACAAACCCTTTCTGGCCCCCACAGAGTTCGTTGCTGTCCAGAATCTTAGTACTGATAGTAAAGTTTACATGACCTGAGAAGAAAGAAGGATAAAGGAAAGCATTACACCTATTGCCAGAGGTACCAATGAGGTCTCTTCCCCTCTAGACCAGTGCTCCTTAAACCTAATGGCATACAAATCACCTGGGGATCTTGTTATGCTACAAACTTGATTTAGTACCGTGGTTCTCAACCTGTGGGTCGCGACCCCTTTGGCGGTCAAATGACCCTTTCACAGGGGTCGCCTAAGACCATCCTGCATATCAGATATTTACATTACGATTCATAACAGTAGCAACATTACAGTTATGAAGTAGCAACGGAAATAATTTTATGGTTGGGTCACAACATGAGGAACTGTATTTAAAGAGCCAGAAGGTTGAGAACCACTGATTTGGTAGATCTGGGGTAGGGGCCTGTATTCTACATTCCCAACAAGCTTCCAGGTGACATCAATGATGCTGGTGCAGTGTGGTAGGCAGCCTTTAAGGGCCCCCAATGATCTGTGCATCCTCATATTTTTAAAAATATTTTTTTATTGATTTCAGAGATGAAGGGAGAGAGATAGAAACATCAATGATGAGAGAGAGAGAGAGAGAGAGAATGAATCATTGATCTGCTGCCTCCTGCACGCCCCTCCTGGGGGATTGAGCCTGCAACCTGGGCATGTGCCCTTGACCAAAATCGAACCTGGGCCCCTCATTCCACAAGTTGATGCTTTATCCACTGAGCCAAACCAGCTAGGGCTATACATCCTCATATTTACACTGTTGTGTAATGCCCTCTCATTACATGTGAGCTGGATTCAGTGACTCACTTCTAATTCAGAAGACAGGGCAGAAGTAATGAGATTCCATTTTTAAAAAGACTGCAGCTTCTGTTTTGGGTGCACCCTTTCTCTTGAACCCCTTGCTCTGGAGAAAACCAGCTGTCATGTCATGAGGCACCCAGTAGACAGATTCATGTGATGAGAAGCTGATGGAGACCACTAGCCAACAACTTAGGAGAGCACTGTACCCTTCAGTCTAGCAGCTTGTGAGGAACAGACTGTGGAATGAGCTTAGAAATGGATCACCTCCTAGTCAAGTTTTCAAATAAGAACACAGCCCTGACTGACAGCTTGACTGGCACTTCACAAGAGACCTTAAGCCACAGGCACCCAGCTAAGCTGCACCCAGATTATTGACCCACAGAAACTGTGTAATAATGCTTGTTCTTTTAAGCCACAAAATTGTAGGGTGGTTTGTTGAGCAGCAATAGATAACTAGTATTAGTTATTGGAAAACTATACTTTGAGTTGCAAGGATTTAATCCATGAGCAAAAGACATCTCCTAGAATTAGTGTGGTGATTAAGTGACTTACCACATGTAGAGCAGTTGAATAATGTCTGGTCCAGATTAGCAACATGACCATATGTCCCTTGTCCTGGCATACATTTTTTTTTGTAGCATAAATATTAAAAAGTTCCCCCTTTCACACTCAAAATAACCCAGTTTGGATAATTCTTTAGGTTATCTATCAAAGGGTACTTGCTTATTTATTTATAACAGAGACATAGGAAGGAGGAAAAAAGAGGCTAGGAAAATGGGGAAAAAAGGAAAGAGGAAACAAAGCAAATGCAGTGGAGGGAAAGATGGAGTTCTCATCCTTCTCTTACCCAGTTTGATAGCTGTGATATTCCAGTGATAGGTTTTCGCTTCATCAGCACAGAGACAGCTGGAAGCATGAGAATCTGTCCATGATTCCACCCGGTACTCCTCTGATTTGGCCAGGTTTGTCTGAACCTGAAGAGGATGTTTAAGAGATAAAGGGTACAAGTAAAGGAGACAGAACACAGAGGCTTGGGAAAACATGGGGGCTGAGACACCGCCGTCGCATCTCTTTCCCAGGGAAAACTGGTACGCTTCCAGTTTAGGGGAAACTTACAGTTGGGGCTGTGGTTCCTAGGCTGGTACCTGTTTCCTGTACCCCCCATTCTTTTTTAAAAAATATTTTTTTTATTGATTTCAGAGAGGAAGGAAGAGGGAGAGAGAGATAGAAACATTAATGATGAGAGAGAATCATGGATCGGCTGCCTCCTGCAAGTCCCCCACTGGGGATCGAGCCCACAACCCGGGCATGTGCCCTTGACCAGAATCGAACCTGGGACCTTTCAGTTCGCAGGATGATGCTCCATCCACTGAGCCAAACCGGCTAGGGCTGTACCCCCCATTCTTACCGTGATGCAGTCCTTTAGATAATTGAAGATGGTGGCAGTCAGACGAAAGGATTCCCCACGAACTACTGAGTAAGGGAGAGTCAGATCTACAAAGAACGGCTTGAATGCAGTTAGTCCAACAGTGGGTGAAAGACCAAAGCCACTGGACTGGGAGGTACAAAAAGTCATGGCCTTCCACTTGGTGATGGTATCAGGAACAGTGAGGTGGAGAGCCTCCTTCCCCGAGTTACTGTGAGAAAACAAGAACCCAGATGAGGCAGACAGTAAATGAAAGAGAGCATCTGAGAATTAAGTTACAAAGTCAGCTGAGAAGTGAATTTTCTGATGTTGTGCCTGGGTGGAAAAGCAAAGAGGCAACAGAATTGGGGGACCATGTGAATCTCAGAGTGTGAATCCTCAGGTGAATGAAGATGTACAAATATGGGAGAAGCGGGATGCCTGAGTATGTTGGAGGTGGTATGTGTGGGTGGACACGTGTGTGCGCAAATGTATCTGAAAGAGAGGCCACTGCCCTGAGTCTATGAAGGCACATGTTCTTATCACTTATCGAAATGAGCAGATAAGCAGTGAGCAAGAACTAAACTAATGCCAAAATGTCCCTTTAAGATTTTGTGGATCTGAAGTGAGAATGCACTATCTGTACTGTGTAAATGTGAATTTCTTTTGAGTGATTGTATATAATTGTATAAGAATTCAGGAAAGAAATACATTCTCATATTCCCATTCAATTTTTCTTAGCTTTAGAGTTATATTCATAAAAATTATTTTATCTTTAGTTTTCTGTTGAGTCCACACTGTATTATCTTGCTGTACCACTGAGGCATCACTTACCCAATAGGAAGCAGATCCCAGAGCCACGTCTCTGGGAAGTACTGGCGAACCTGAGAATCCTCTGATGGAATTGATGAAGATGAGGACCCAAAAGCCAGTGGAGTATTACGATCACTTTCTAAGGAGCCTAAGAACAGGGGAATGTTAGAAGACTTCTGTTGTGAGATAAACTTATCTGAAGGGACTACCAGTCACAAGGCCAGTGACAGACATGGACATTTGGCCAGGGAATGAATAGATAAGGCCTTCAGATTTCAAAAGCCCTCCCCAGACAGAGATATCCTTGGGAGACTGCCTGCATCTATGACTCACAACCATTATTCTGAGGCTAGAGGCTCAGGATAAGGACCAGAAGCAAAGAGGGAGCTTTCAGAGCTCCATGATTCCAAACATCTCAGTGACGGCACAAGTCACAAAGGTAGCTTACTTCCACCAATTACTCTGCCGTATTCTGGAGAATGGTGACTGCAATCAACTGGCTTCTTGACTTTGGCGTTGGACAGTATTTTCAGTCCCATGTTCTGATAGGCACAAAAGAGAGGAGAGAATAAAATGTTAAGTACTCTGCCTTAATACAAGGGCTGCTGCCTAGGAATTGTACCTTCAAAGGATTCAGCCAAGACATTTGTGTCCTATTAATGGGAGACTGGTGATAATTACCCAATACTTAGCCAAAATTGGTTCACTTCTGTTCCAGCCTAGGGTGAAAGGCTTTCAAGTAAACTTACTTCATTGTTAGATATGTTTAATGCTTCTTTCAAATATTAGTCAAAAATATTATTATTTGATTTAGACTCTGAACTTTCAGAGGCCAGGGACCATATTAGCTCAATCAATTCAACAAACATACATTGAGCATTATGAAGGATCAGGCATTAGAGAGCATGCTTTAAAGATGAACAAGACATGGCTCCTGTCAGAGGCCTCCTGGTCAGACTTGGGCCATAGCATCTCAACTTCTGTTCATAAAATAGGTGCAATATTTTTTTTTTATAATAATAATAAAAAGACACTGCTGGTCTGCCTTTCCTCATTTTCCTTCTTGACTGATCCGTGAAAATCAATCTTTGGGGACCACCAGTTGAGAAGACTAGGTATTCGGCCTCTCATGGTGGTTCTCTTCCAATGAAACAGGGCAACTTCTTCAAGCATAAGAACTAAGAGAGGCTGCCTTATATTTCAGGAGGTTTTTTCAAGATTTTATCCCTGCTAGTGCACACATGATTCTCTCTGCTTTTAAAGATATGGACTTTCAGCCCGGCTGTTGTGGCTCGGTGGTTGAGGGTTGACCCATGAACCAGAAGGTTGCGGGTTCGATTCCCAGTCAGGGCACATGTCCAGGTTGTGGGCTTGATCCCCAGTAAGGGGTGTGCAAGAGGCAGCTGATCAGTAATTCTCTAACATCATTGATGTTTCTATCCTTCTCTCCCTTTCCCTTCCTCTCTCTGAAATCAGTAAAAAAACAACATTTTTAAAAATATGGACTTTCCATCCCCCCTCCCACTACCATTGTTTTATAAAAACAAAATAGATAAGACCATCTACCTGAAAAAACCTGAAAAGGTCCATGCCTCTAGAGAACCAATATCTCGGCATAACTGAACGCCTGCTCCAACGCTCTTCAGGCACAGGGACAGTGAGGGGCTGAGGAAGGTCCGCTGGGCCAGACACTGGGCACTCATCATATTCATCCACCTGATAGGGGTAGTAACCATACCAGAATGGGAACATCCCATAGACCTGAAATAAAAGGGGGGAAAAGAAATAAAGTATTGACACAGTGTAATCAGTTGAGAAACTTCTCTCGGATTTTGGTGCCACAGCTCCCATATTATTTATCTTCATTACTCCAGAATTCTTCCTATATTTATTTCATCATAACCTCTTCCTTTACTTTTGAAATTTTAACCTCTATCTCACCTTTTTCATAGTCTGTCACACTTATCTTCTATTTCATTTTCATCCTTTCTTTTTTATTTATTTTAGAAAGACAGGAAGAGAGAAATAGAATCACCAATGAGAGAGAAACATCCATTGGCTACCTCCTGCATGCCTCCTACTGGGGATTGACTGATCTCACAACCTGGGCATGTGCCCTGACCAGGAATTGAACCCGCAACCTCCTAGTTCATGGGTCGGCACTCAACCACTGAACCATACCAGCTGGGCTCATCTTCTTTCTTTATCTCTATGTCCATATTAACCATGCTCTTCTCTTCCCATTATTTCCACCTTTATTTTCATACCCGCTTTTCTACTACCTTATAGTGGTGCACTATTTTCCTAAGACTTTCTTTCCCACTCCCTGAAATCTATCCTCTGTTCTAATGGACCCAGATTGTCTTCCCCGTTAACTCCCTCTTCCCACGTTATTAGCCGACTACTCACAGAGTGGTTACTCAGCTCTCTCTCTGGCCTAAGTAGTAAGACACTCTCATCCACAGCTCGGATGGCACAAAGGGATCCTGGAGCTGCCTGCAGCTGTAGGTCCACATCTGATCCTGGAAGCTGCTGGGAAGGTGAGAAGCCAAGGGAAACCTGAAGAAGGACAAATATAACTTGGGAATCAGTTAGGCCTGGAGAGGACAAGACAAAAATATCACTTGGATCATCAGCTTTAACTATGGTATCCAGCCCACTTTTTCACTTTTATACTGATTTTCCTTTGTAAAGTCTAGCCCTTGAGAACCAGTGTCTTACGATAGAGTTGAGAAAAGTGAGCAGCACAGCAGAACGATATAGATGTTTAAAAGATAAGAAAGCATATGGAATAGCTATATTTAAAATAGCTATATATGTGATTCCCAACATGACTTTTTAAAAAGAAGCAGGAAAGAAATAATTTCCATCAAATATACTAAAGGTATAAATACAATATGACATCTTATCTTATTTCCCAGCCCCTGCCTTATCTCAACCCTAGCACACACAAGATTTCTCTCTATTCCCAGATTTTTTTCTTCACCCTCCTCAACTGCCATTTTACCTTATTGTCAAAGCACAGCTCTACTGAGAACTGAATTTTGTCAGCTATAACACCTCCACTGGAGAAAATGGCATAGACCACCAAAGAAGCATCAGGGGCAAGCCTGGAATTGATGGTCAGTGAGAGAGAGAAGGAGCCTTTCAGTCCTGAAAGAGAAGAGGACATACACAGGGATGAGAGTGTACTCACCTACCCGTGACATCCAACCATATGTTTGCATTTCCCATTGGGCCAGCAGCAAGCCTATGGTGCAAGTAACTTCTCATTTTCCTATTCTTCTATGGTTATTATTACTGTTCTGTTCTCATTGCTTCTATGGATAAGAACTGTTTCCTGGAAGTTTAAAATACTGTTTTCTCTTCCAAAAGAAGCAAGGCCCTAGCCAGTTTGGCTCAGTGGATAGAGCGTTGCCCTGTGGACCAAAGGGTCCCAGGTTCAATTTTGGTCAAGGGCATGTTCCTTGGTTGCATGCTCCTCCCCAGCCTGGGTCCTGGTAGGAGCATGTGCAGGAGGCAACCAATCAATGTGTTTCTCTCACATTGTCTCTGTCTTTACCTCTCTCTCCCACTCTCTCTAAAAATTCAATGGAAAAATATTCTTGGGTGAGGATTAACAAACAAAAAAAACAAGCATGAACACTCACCTTTCTTTTTGGAGTACATGTGTTTCTGCCCCTCCATCTCCAAACGTCCTTTCCCTATTAACTATGAAAGAGAAAAAAAATCATCAATAGCATAAATGTTATGGGAGATTAATCTTGACCCCACTTCTGGAACATCCCTGCATCTCTCTATAAGGAGAGTCTCCTTTCATAGTTCCAGAGCCTGACTCAATACTTGTTATTTTCCACCTAATCCTCCTTATTCTGTTGTGTCAGGATGATTGTTTTAGCTTAATGAAGCCATGGGGATGATAGAAGATACTAGGATGATTCAGTAGGGAGAAAGTCTCTCAGAGACTTTGAGGGGATGATAAGAGAATGAAGAGACTCAGTACCATCAAACCTGAGCTTTGCAGGAATCTAATCCTCACTATCACCGAGATGACCAATAAAGCTACTTATCTTTATATATTTCCTTCAGGGTCCAAGTTGTGCTTTTATTTCTCCAACAAGGTTATCAATGTTAATTTTAACCCTGTATCATCTACTGTAAAATATTGGTCAATAAAACACAGAATGAATTTTATTCTGAGTCCCATCCTCTTCTCACCCTCCCTCCCACCCACGTACCCAGTTCCCTTTCACCCTAGCCAGCAACATTTTCTTGTTCATTCCTCATCTTATTTCCCCACACAGTTTCCCTGGGATCCTGCTCACAATCTCTTTATTCCTCGTTTCCCCCTTCCTTTATAACTACACTAATCATATAAAATATATTTTAAAAATTGAGTTTTGCCAATGGATATAAGACACTGGGGGATAGGGGAGGCTAGGGGACTGTCTAGGGCGGGGGGATAAAATGGACACATATGTAATACCCTTTGTAATACTTTAAGCAATAAATTAAAAAAAAACAAACCATAAAAATAAATAAATAAATACTTAAATAAAAAAATAAAAAAATAAAAATTGAGTTTTGCTTGTTCTTTCCATTTCTTTTAGTGTGGCTTTTAAATTTTTTGAAATTACCTATGTTGCTTGCATTCTCTCTACTTGGATAGTCTATTCAATTTCTCCAGTTCACTCTCCCCATTCCCTTTCCTTCTTGACACATTTTCACCAACCCTCACTTCCCAGACTTACATAGTAGGAGAAGGTGATTTCCTGGTCAGGGTTTGCATCAGCTGGATTAATGTCATACTCCACCAGCACTTCCTGGGGCTGCCCACATTGCAAGGTGCCATTTAGCCGCTTGATTCTGAGGAAGCTGTGTGTTGTATTGTAGAAGGGTTGCAGGTGCAGGTAGGCATCCTGATAGTATCGAGGCACCTGCTCTGGATTATATACTGAATCTTCCATTTGGAACCTGCCCTGAGAAAGAGAGGGAAAAGAAGCTCTTTTGGCATGTACCCTAACCATATTTAACCACAGTCATTTGTTATGATTTTCAAATAGTTCTCTCTCAAATCTTCACTGTGTAAGAATGGCATGTAGATATTTCAGTATAAGTCCAGCCAAAGATATTTGAGGAATCCATAATAGGGGCTATGTGCAGCAGCATTTTATTATGTAGGAGAGAGAAACAAGGACTGAATTATAATTGTCAAGTAATGGGAAATACTTTTACAGATTGATGCCTAGGGAATAGGTAAGCATGACTAAGATTATAGAGAAATTAAAGACTATATCCCAGGGACATAAAAATGAAGTATAGAGGATAATAGGATTGAAAATAATTATTTCTAAGTAGAGTGATCAAGTGATGCCTGAAAAAAAATAGTTCTATTAGCCACAGACAAATAGCATATGTTTGCTTAAGTAGTGTAGCTAAATGATTGCATTAATGGCTTTAATTTTTCATCTCTCCTTGCATCAACATCATTTACTATGTAATATTACAGTGGGCCCCCAGGTGACTTGTTGGAAATAGATGTTAGCATATGCAAGATAAGCAGAGGCTTGAAAAAGCACTCGCATGTCCACTTTTGCTCTTGCACCTCATTGTTGACATGAGAATATACTTCGTGCTGCCTAACTTACTACCCCAGATGCACAAACAAGACATGCTTTTTATTGTATAATGCTAAAATTTAAAGTTGTTTGTTAAGCAGCATTGTGTCAGTTGATAATTGATACAAGTAGTCTTCCTTATAAGTATCAAAATCTATAGTTCTCTTCTTTGCCATTATTATGAGTAGCTAGAGCAGGCGTGGGCAAACTTTTTGACTCGAGGGCCACAATGGGTTCTTAAACTGGACCGGAGGGCCAGAACAAAAGCATGGATGGAGTGTTTGTGTGAACTAATATAAATTCAAAGTAAACATCATTACATAAAAGGGTACGGTCTTTTTTTTTTTAGTTTTATTCATTTCAAACAGGCCGGATCCGGCCCGCAGGCTGTAGTTTGCCCACAGCTGAACTAGAGGCCCGGTGCATGAAATTCGTGCACAGGTAGGGTCCCTAGCGGCTGCCGGCTGGAGAGACCCTTCTGCCGGCCGCCTGCCACTGCCGCTGCCACTGCCACTGGCCCCGCCCCCTGGTCGAACTCCTGGTTGAACTCCCGGTTGAACTCCCAGTCGAGGGGACAATTTGCATATTAGGCTTTTATTATATAGGATGAGTAAGGGGACAGGAGGATGAGGACAGCTCTGGACCATTTTTACCTCCCTATTCTGATTTCAAATTAGAATATGGGAATAAGTTATAAGATGAATTAATATAAAGAGCAATTTTGATCTGAAGGGTCATTTATTTAATTAATATTAAAAGCAAACAGAAAAAGTTTTTGCCAAATGGGCAGCAGAATTGTCAAGTGATGGAATTACAAATGGGGTGGTAGAGGAAGAAAAGAAATAGAAACATGTTGAAGTTTTTCCTTCAGGAAGTCTTCCTTGCTGGGAAGCTGGCCCACTCCAGTGCTTACCTGCAGAGAAATGTCTGTCCCATTCCAATGAACCGTATCCAGCTTGAAGGAAGCGAGGCCATTGTTGTCAGTAACTAAGGTGTGGTTGATGGTTGCATTTATGCCCAAAATCATCAGAAACACTTCATGATTCTTGAGAAGGGAACCATCATGGCCCTTAACTCTTATCTGAGTGGCAAAGGTCATTAGAGTTAGGTTTGGAGTAGGTTCAAGTATGAGGTAAAGTGACGTGATAACAGAAACTCTTAAGAATACATTTCAGAAAAGAGTCCAGAAAAAGCTAAATGTATTCAAGGTTTGCAAACTAGGATCTACAGGGAATTAAGAAACAAACAGAAGCAGCTTAGCCTGGAGCAGAAGTATATTTGCCATGAAGCGTTAGGACCCTTCCTTAGCTACACCAGGCTCTTCCTAAGGCTCTGTAGAATATTTTGCTTTCCTTTTCTTTTTATTATTATTATTTTTTGCTTTATTTTTCTTAATCTTTACAACAATCATATGGGATAGAAACTATTATTAGGCCTATTTTACAGATGATTTAACCTCTTCCACTCCCAAATTATATAACATTAGACTCCAAGAAAATCTGGATCTGCTCTTGAACTAGAGAAAAGATGACTAAGGAATAAATGGATCTAAAGATGTACATTATTGTGTTAACCAATTGTTCTAGGAATGTAGAAGAACACGCTAGAGAGAGGAGTAGATTTTAGGTATTAGACAGAAGACATTAACATAGAAAATTTTAAACTCTCTTTAAAAAATGCTTAAGGATCTATAAATGGCTTTCTATCAAGGAAAGTCTGATATTAACCTTGCCTAGATGCAACAGCTCACACTAGATGATTTCTCCAAATACCTTACAGCCCTAAAATTCAAATATTTGAATATTACAATATGAGCCCTTGGCATTAGGAAGGGCACTGAAGTCACATCAATATTCAAGATATATCTCATGTGAGATTAAGGGCAGCACAACATAAGGAGTTCAGAGTATATATTCTGAACGCAGGCTGCCTAGTTTTTATCATAGTTCCTACTTACTAGTTATATAACCTTGGAAAAATCACTTAACCTCTCTTGCTTCAGTCTCCTTATCTGTAAAATGGGACCAATAATAGTGTTTATCCCATAGGATTGGTGTAAAGATTGAATAAGTGAATAGCCATAGAGTACTTAGAACAATGCTGGTAGTTTTATTTTGATATGTCTACAGAAAGGAGGCAGTAGTTAAGCATTTATTTTTGTCTGTGCAGAGACAGACTACAACATACCTTCCCACTGAAGGGAAAATTGGGGTAATAATAATTATTGGTGTCTTCAAAGGTCATTGATCCTATTTGTGAAGAAATGTAGATTTCCTGAGTGCCATTGGCCTCCACGCCTGCGGAGGGAAACCAGATGTACATTAATCTAAATGCCTGAAATCCTCATTTTCATGTTTCATACAAAATCTCTGAAAGGATGGAAGTATAAAGCTTAATATATTTCTAGCCAAAGATCCAAACCAACTCCTCTTCCCCAAATGTTTGGAGGAAATAGGTACTGGATGGCAGATTGGAATCTGGCATTTCCCTCCGTGAACCAGAAGTCATTCCCAAACACTAATGAAGGTAGGTCTTGAATCCTCTGAGTAAGTGTATCCCTGAAACAGTCCCTTTCCTTTCTTTTTTCTTAATGAACCAAGAAGTATCCACTTACCTGTCCCTTCCTCCACCACAGTAGTCACAATATTGATGCTGTGTCTGTACATATAGCCAGTGAGGTTGAAGGTGGACATGTGCACAGAAGCTGAGAAGCATCCTGCTTTGTCCGTCTAATGAGTCAATTAGAGAGAGAGAGGGAGAAATAGAGGATGAATAATCTGATCCCAACTTCCATTTCATAATGTACCATAGAAGGAAATAATTTCTGATCTTCAGGCTTTAGTTTCTCCATCCTTAAGATAGAAAAACTCTCCGATAACATAGAGTATACACCTACACATATATAATCATGAAATGACTTTGAAGCTACAAAATATGAGAAGATGAGAACAGCCAACTGTAGAATGGGAAAACTTTATCTCCCAAGGGTTTAAGTTCATTTCTTGATTACAAGGCAGATTCTAAAAGACTTTATCTATTTTGGATAAAATGACCCCTTTGCTCTTTGGAACTTGGATAACAATTGTGTGAAATGTTTTCTACTCTGGGCTTTGAGCACTTTTCTATATTGCTGCTTATTTACTCTTTAGGACATGTAAATAAGGTGCCTTTTCTAAATACCATTTACTCACCTGTCCAGAGAGGTTCCTGCATTTGTCAGGTAGCTGTTTCCTTTCTGCCTCTCCAAACCAGTAATTATGTGCCTTTTGACACACTGATACTTGCACTGCCCCTAGCATAGGTTTTCCATAGGTGTACCTAAACCAGAGAAGCACGGGGAGTCAGAGTTAGGAAATTCCACTTGAGGGCCAACCTTCATCCCCCAAAACACCACTTTCCTTCTTTCCCACACTCCAGCCTCTGCAGGTACTCTGGCATTCACTTCCCTGCTTTACTCAAAGCCGTAGAGTACTGCCATTACACAGGAAGTACCATCCAAAGGACAGAACAGCAGCTTTCTTTTTTCTTACTCCTATTTCTCCATTAGATTCAACATTCCGTTCAGCACAAAGTAGACTCAAAATCCCTAATGCTGACTGAGTGAGCAGTGGGAAGTAAGAGCAGAAACACAATTAGAAAATGTGTTCTTGGAGAAGTCCTGACCCTAGGCTAAATAAAAAATCCCAAGTTGCCCTAACCAGTTTGGCTCAGTGGATAGAGCATCGGCCTGCAGACTGAAGGGTCCCAGGTTCGATTCCAGTCAGGGGCATGTACTTTGGTTGCAGGCACATCCCCAGTAGGGGGTGTGCAGAAGGCAGCTGATCGATGTTTCTCTCTCATCGATGTTTCTAACTCTCTATCCCTCTCCCTTCTCTGTAAAAAAATCAATAAAATATATTTTTTAAAAAATCCCAAGTTTTAACCACCACCTCCATTTCTCCATAACACTCCTCAACATACTTCTCAATGTAGCTTTAATCTCCACCATATCTAGAGCCGTATTCTTACCTACAACAAATTTTTACTAAGAAAGATTCCTCCATGGTTGATAACTGCCTGGGCTCGACCACTTCCACCTTGAACTTAGGTAGCACTGGAGAGAGTGGAAAGAAAATGGAAACGGAATAGGAGAAGAACTTAACCATATAGGTAGTGAACAGTGGGGTATAAAAACAGTAGTTAATTAATTGATTGATTAATTAAATAACTAACTAATTAATTAATTAATCAAGAGGGGGCTTTATTAAGGGGAAATACTCCTGAAGTTATTAGCTGGTTTAGCACGGATTCAAAAATGAATAAACACCCCTCCCAATGGCAGGCTTTTACTTTACTATTGCTGATTTTGTAACCAGATTACACCCAACACTGTGAGCTCATCGTTCTCCCACATACCATATTCTTCCACACTGAAGGTGCCGAAGGTCTTGCCCTCAGCCACTGCCACGGTGTAGGTGCCCAGCGTTGCCTCTGGTGCCAGTTGGAAGGATAGCTGCACAATGCCTTGCTCGGGCGCCACTTCCAGCCACTGTGCAATCCTGTTGCTATTTGGATCCTGTGTCCATGGAAAAGAAACCTCTTGATGTACCTGTCTGTCTGGCTTCCACTTTGCACTGCAACAAGCGGGTACAGGATTCTCCCCATGGCCTCCCCATGTCCAAACCGCACCTGGCTTATTTATTATTCTCTTCATTACTGCATGAGATAGGCTCGGCCCCCATTTTGGAAGAAAAGGGTCCTTCAAATAATCAGACTGAGTCTTCTAAGGTGTGATGGCCAGCTTCAGAAAGTGGGATTTAGGATGTCCTTTACAAAGAATGTTTACTCTACTCTTGGTCTCTATTAAGGGACAACGCTGAAGGGATTGATTGTAAGATACATGAGAGATAGGTAATTTAACAGAGAAATGGAGGGGATGCTCTGGGGAATTTGCATTCCTAGGCCCTTTTCTCCTTAACACTTCTCACAGGCATTCATGTCATAGTCAGCTGTCGAGTGTCTATGACAAGAGCTCATCACTGAAAACGAAGAGGAGTGTGGAGCCAGGTGAACTGGTGCGGCACAAAGAAGTTACAGGAACCAGAGTGGAAGGGTTAGTCCCAGCAGAGGTTGGTGACTTTCCTTACAGAGGTTTGGGGCTGAGAGGACTGGGGCGGGCAGAGGCCAGAGAACAGGCACAGCGTAGGAGGAACTGTGGGCACTCAGTGCTGGGCAGTCCCAGGCGCTGGGCCAAGATCTCAGAGTTCTGTCTGGCTTCCAAGTTTAGCACCAAACTCTCACTTCTCCTTCTCCACCACTGACAGAAAAGCAAAAGAAACTTCTACTTACCTGCAGTTCCACCATAGAATACTGAAAAGGAAAACCAGATAATGTGGGTTAAAGCAGGATACGCAACAAGGTTAGGTTTGTTGAAAGCAAGTTCACAAAGGCGCCTTTCTTTCCCCATTGCCCACTCCTTCCTTTCAGATGGCCCTGTGCTGCTCTGATTAGATTAACAATGGGGCAAACGCTTATTGGCTAGTGGAGGAGAGAGAAGGGATTTCCTCAGAGGGGTTGCTGGTCTCCGAAATATTTAAAGAAATGGAGCTTCAGACACTTCAGCATCCCTCGGTGTTCTACGACCCAGCTCTTCTTGGAGCCAACTATCTTCCGCCCCCTCCTCTGCTATTTGAATGCCACTGGGTGGGAACCTTATTTTCAAGCATTGCAAAACAATTTCTAAAAAAAAAAAATGTTTAAAAGTGTTCCATTGAAGGATCATGGATAGTTTCCTCAAGAAAATGGATGCTAAGACCATTAAGTTGGTGGGGAACAGGTCGTTGTGCTAGGTGTGAGTATCACCCCAAAAGCACTTGCCAATTTCAAACGGAAAAAAGACATGGCTTTCCATTGGGGAAATTAAGCTGTCACCACCTTCACCAGTAATCAAACTCATCAAAACTAATTGTGGGAAAGAGACATTATGTGCTTCCTTCCTGAAGAGACACATTTGAGGTTTACTGCATTACCTACCAAGTATTTTTGCCAAGAATGTTTAGCTTAAATCTAATTAAGACCTCACACCTACTTCCAGAAGACAGAGGAACAAGTTAGATTACACAATAGGAGAAATAATCAGACAAATTAAGAATGTCAAATATTCTGTAAGACAAGTAGGCTTCCTTAAGATCAGTGTCATATTTCAAAACGAGGACATTTTAAAAGCTATCTAACCTGATCTCTTTCTCTCGCAAAAAAAGTCAATATAATAAAAAAAATAAGAGAGATTATTTTATATTAAGAAAAATTTAAAACATAATAATTAAATGTAATACATAGATTTGTTTTTTTGGCTCCTAGTTTGAAAATTTGAAAAAAACAGATTTAGGGCTGCATACTAAATAATAATTATTAATTTTATTATAGATGTGGTAATGACATTATGATTTTTAAAGACATTCTTTTTAGAAGATATATGCTAAAGTATTTACAAGTAACATGTTATGATGTCTGAAGCTTACTTTTAAATTATTTAGCAAAAAAATAATATATTAAAAAAATATTAAAACAAATGTAGCAAAATAAAAAATATTGAATTTTGGTGTTATGTTTGAAAATTCTAATAATTAAAAGTTGAAAACAAAATGACAGCTCAAGATAATTTTATTTTTATTTATTTTTATTTTATTTTTAAATATTTTATTGATTTTTTAAAGAGAGGAAGGGAGAGGGACAGAGAGCCACAAACATCGATGAGAGAGAAACATCAATCAGCTGCCTCCTGCACACCCCCCGCCCCCACGGGGGATGTGCCCGCAACTAAGGTACATGCCCTTGACCAGAATCGAACCTGGGACTCTTCAGTTCGCAGGCCGACGCTCTACCCACTGAGCCAAACCGGTTAGGGCTCAAGATAATTTTCTTATGAGGGAATTATCTTTTTACTGTATTGTTTTTGTTTGTGTGAGATGTTTTAATTCTTTAACTATAATTGTTAGGATTTTACAAAATGATGGCCATGGAAATAGATAATTACAACATCTAGGGTGTGAATATAATTAAAAATCTGGTTAGAGACTATACATTTTCTGGACTCAGGACTTTCCAGTTAGTATTACACACTTTTTAAAAATATGTATTGTTATTGATTTCAGAGAGGAAGAGAGAGATAGAAACATCAATGATGAGAGAGAATCATTGATTGGCTGCCTCCTGCATGCCCCACACTGGGGATCGAGCCCGCAACATGGGTATATGCCCTGACCACGGAATCAAACTGTGACCTCCTGGTTCATAGGTCTACACTCAACCATTGGGCCATGCCAGCTGGGCAATATTACACTTTTTTTAAAAATATATTTTATTGATTTTTTTATAGAGAAGAAGGGAGAGGGATAGAAAGTCAGAAACATCGATGAGAGAGATCGATCAGCTGCCTCCTGCATGCCCCCCAGTGGGGACGTGCCCGCAACCAAGGTACATGCCCCTGACAGGAATCGAACCCGGGACCCTTGAGTCCGCAGGCCGACGCTCTATCCACTGAGCCAAACCAGTCCGGCAATATTATACACTTTTAAAAGGACTTACAACTAAATGAAATTGAAAGCTGAATTTAGATATGGAGGTCTTAGAGAGGGTACAAGTTTGGATCTCACTTGGAAGGGAGATGGAATGGAACCTAGTTGGTGCTTGTCTTTGATTCTTGCTCTAAGTACCATGTGATGCTGACCAGTGAAGAAGCAGAGTGTCATTAAATACAAACATCAGCCTTGATATCAAGGATAATGGCAATTCCTCAGTAAAGCCAGAAATGAGAGATAAAGATTGTAGGGGTGGAAAATTTTTCCCTTCTTCCCTTCTAGGCTCTTTGGCTAGTCTAATAATTAAATTGACCTAAGACAGGTTAATAGTGAAAAAAACAAATTTAATTACATCCATATAGAAGCACCACAAAGACAATGAGACTGAAAAGGAGTCAGGCAATTGAGGCTGAGATGCCACCCTGAGCTAAGGAATGGAATAGGGTTCTGGGGCTTCCAAGCAGAGGAGGGCAATTCACAGGAAGAGAAGAAAAGCAGATGTTTGGTAACCAGATGTTTGCCCTGGCATGCAGGTAAGTCTTTCAGATATAGAAAAAGTCATCTCTGATAATAGCTCTCTCTGGTACAGGCTCCCCATCTAAACTCTTTCAGCCAGTTAAGGGAGAAATAAACTTTTTCTTGAGTCTGTAGTCTTTTGTTTTGTTTGTTAATCCTCACCTGAGGATACTTTTCCATTTATTTATTTATGTATTTATTTATGTATTTATGTATTTATTTATTTATTTATTTTTATAGAAAGAGTAGAAGGGAGAGGAAGAGACAGAGAGAGAAGAACATGGATGTGAGAGAGACACATCAATTGGTTGCCTCCCACACACACCCTGACCAGGGTCGGGGATCAAACCTGCAACCAAGGTACGTGCCCTTGACTGAAATCAAACCAAGGACCCTATAGTCCAAGGGCCAACGCTCTACCCAGACTGGCTAGGGCTGCAGAGTCTTAACTGCCTTCAGCTCAAAATAGCCCACATGATAAAGCAGCACATCTTGGGGTGGCCTACTCTGCTCTAGTTCCGGGTCAAAGAAGGACAGGACTTTCACAAACCAGGGCTACATAGGCGATAAGGAGGCAACTATCACTGAGATTATTATGGAATCCTATAAATTCCAGAAAAAGAACACTTCTTCAGATAACAAAGTATTTTTCTCACACAGGGGGTCAAGAGGGAGGGAGGACACCAGTTACCAGTTTGCTTTCCTCTCAAAGGAAACAAGTGTTCAACTAGGACAGTGGTCAGCCAAATATCAACAGTACAACAATTGAAATTGCTTTTGAGAGCCAAATTTTTTAAACTTAAACTATATAGGTAGGTACATTGTTATTAACTTAATTAGGGTACTCCTAAGCTGGCCTTTGTTAAAAACGTCCTCGCCCTGACAGGTTTGGCTCAGTGGATAGAGCATCAGCCTGAAGACTGAAAGGTCCCAGGTTCTATCCAGTAAAGGGCATGTACCTTGGTTGCGGGCACAACCCCAGTAGGGGGTGTGTAGGAGGCAGCTGATAGATGTTTCTCTCTCATTGATGTTTCTAACTCTCTATTCCTCTCCCTTCCTCTCTGTAAAAAATCAATAAAATAAAATAAAGTCCTCAACCTGAGGGGTCAATCTTGGCAAACGTACCCCCACTTCTTCTAACGCCACTTCTTCAAAATAGACTCGCCCAGGCCGAAAACCGACTTCTGCACATGGGCCACGAAGTTTCAATCGCGCTGTACGTGGGCGCCCACACGTGGTATTTTGTGGAAGAGCCACACTCAAGGGGCCAAAGAGCCGCATGTGGCTCGCGAGTCGCGGTTTGCCGACCACTGAACTAGGATGATAGCGTTTCCAACTGGAAGCTGCCTGAGGTTTCTGAATGAATGGATGTAGCAACCAAAGTAGTCAGGGTCAGTTCATCTCAAGTATATTTTAGTTGCCTGAGGCTAAAACACTGTGCTCTGTATACTCCCCGTTTCTTAGTAAAATTCCTTTGGGTAATTTCAGTGTTTCAAATTAAGCATTTCAAATTTTCAATGTTCAAACTGGAACTTGGGATGAGGGTGCTGGCTAGAGAAATGGAGTGGAGAGGAAGGAGTAATTTTACATCAGAAACAAAGCATCACTGTAGAAATCAGAGCACCTCTCAGGAAATGATCACAGGAAAGATAACATAACAGGGGTGCTTAATGAGATCAACCTTGAAGGCAGGAGAGTCTGAGATAACTTTGGCTGTGGCTACACTTTCACCTTAGCATGTCCTCTTTTTAGCTCTGGAATCAACAGTGTGTTAAACAATAGCGATTCAATATTCTACCCAACTTGTTTTAAATGTATTTTTATTGACTTTAGAGAGGAAGGGAGACAGAGATAGAAACATCAATAATGAGAGAGAAACAATAACTGGCTGCCTCCTGCACGCCCCCTACTGGGGATCGAGCCCCACAACCTGGGCATGTGCCTTTGACTGGAGTCGAACCTGGGACCCTTTTGTCCGCAGGCCAACGCTCTATCCACTGAGCCAAACCAGCTAGAGCTCTACCAAACTTTTGATAAAGAAAGGATACAGGTGATGGGAAGGAGAAACTAAAAAGAATTCAAAATTGGGAAAGAAAGCAGTGATGGGGGAGGCTACTGATCATAAGCCCATAGCCTCCTGTACACAGGGAAAGGAAACAGAAGCTCTGAGAACATGGAGAGGGACATAAAAATAATGCTCTCCCTATAATTATCATTGAACGTGTCCTTTGAATTCATGGCCTGTGTCTGAAGGCGAAAGAAGACTGCAGGAGTGTGTTAGAGCAAAGTATTTCACAAGCATGTAGAAACAACACAAGCCCTGAATTGAGATCATACACCTCATAAGGCTTATGATTCTAGCAGTTGAGCTGTTCAAGGAAAATTTAAGTATTCACCAAATGTTACCACATTTTTTTACCTTTGGCACTTTTTAAATGTTGCCTTCACAGAACTGTCTATTTTATAATTTGTTATTTTTAAATGTTGCCTTAAGAGAATTGTCTAAGTTATAAATTACATTGCCTCATAGTAAAAAAAAAAAAAAAAAGGGGGGGGGGGGTTGGTGAATATCCTCATTTCTTCCTTTTGTTAAACACACTCCTGAATTATGTCTTCAGATTTGAACTGCAAAGCATCTTGGTGTAATCCCTCAAAAGTCTTGAAGTTTGCAAAAACGATTTTTTAAAACAGCAGGGAATGTAACCCTCTCTCAGGAATGTTAACCTCACTGATGTGCTCGGCTATTGGACCTGAGAGCTAGACACATCTGCTTGTTTTCAGGCAGACAGGGGCTAGGAGGTCTTAGACTGGCATCTCAGTTCCCACCTGCACTCTGCACCTCAGAGGGCCTCGCCTCCTCATACCCTTGGAAAGAACCTCTTCTCTCCCCTGTTCTCTCAGTCTGTCCTACCCCTTTCCCTTCCCTTCTTCCCAACTAAACTCTCACCTTGTCATTCACTGGAACAAAGTTGCTGTCCAGGGTGACGATGCGGAAGTGCACTGGAAGGAAACAGGCGTCATTAGCACAGGGGAGATTTCCTCTTTCAGATCTTTCTTCCTTCCACCCTTCTACTTCCTCACACATACTTCTGAGTCAGCAAAACCCCATCGTTTTTTTATTACTATTATTATTTAAATAAACCTAGTCCGAGAAAAAATGAAGCCCTGAAACGATTTCTCTTCACCACTGCAGACTCTGAAACCTCAGAGTGGAATGCCCCTCTAAGTAAGAAGCAGCAAATACCAACGACAGGAGCTCAAGCCAAATGTGTATTTGCATATTTCACATACAAGCAGCTTGCGGAAGGACCTAGCAATCCAATTATACTTACAAATTTTATTCCAGAAGAAACGTTCTCTCCTGTTTTAGAAACACACACACAGGAGCCACTCCACCCACTACCCTTTGGCTTGTGGAACCCAGCAGCCCCCCTAGACCTTCCCCTCTTCTGCGCTCATTATTCCATAGGCCTGCCACCAAATCACAAAGCCCCTGTTGAAGGATACCTGCCGCTGTGTCCCCAGCCTTTTGTCCAACCCCATATGTGTGCCTCTTACCTCGCTGCCCCGGCTTGTAGATGGGTTTGTCAGTTTGCACAAAGGTGCCATGCCCCTGCCTCTGAATTAAAACTGTTTTCTTTTCCTCAAAGCTGATGTTATTTCCAGTTCCTGACACCCGGACTGTAGCCACTTCTTCTGTGCCACCTGCAGGAGGTGGTACCTGGCCAAGAGAGGGGAGCTCTGAGGAGGAGGAAGAGATGGAGGCACAGAATCTACTGGTTGCAAACCCAAGAATGGGAGGGTAAAAGGAAAGGACTGAGTCAGATGGGAGCAGCAAGGGTAGAGCCACAAAACAGGTTGCCAGGGGAAAGGGGAACAATAGTCAGAGGTTAAGATCGGGAACAAAAAGAAGAAATGCAAGGTCAGGGAAATTATGGATGAGTGATGGCCAGGAATTGAAGTCAGGTTTAGGGGAGATAGGTTTAAGGGCCTTGACAAACGTAAGATAACAAAGTTAGATTATGGTGAGTATCTAGGGAGGAGAATAGGCAAGTATGGGATTAGAGTTGGGGCTAACTCTGTGCTTACCAAAAAGGACATGCAGTGTAAGTGCCTCTTCCTCATTCCACGGTGTTCTAGCAAGTTCTGGGCCTTGTTCTTGGTCTCCAGAGTAACAGTGAATTTTACATCATAGTACCCAGGGCTCAGATCCAAACAAACCTTCTGAGTAGAGGGAAAGTGAAGCTGGGCTGGTAATGTCACCAGGTAGTTTCTGTTAAAGAAGCAAAAGGGTTTGAGGACATAATGATTCATCCATCAGTGGGAAATTAAGCCCTTTCACAAACACTCAGCATATAGCAGTGAATTAAACAGACTGAGCTCCTGCCTCCATAAACCTTATTTCCTATAAAGAAGAAGAGGACAAATAACTCAGTGCACAGCCTTTAAACCTCCCACAATCAGGAAGCCATCACTGAGAGCCTATGCTTAGTATACCAACGAGGAAATTAGTTCTATGACAGAGAACAGAGTACAGGGACCCTGCTGTATTTTAATATATTTTTTTTTAACTTCCTCTTAGGCCTCAACGTTTCTCTCTGGGTAAAGGAGAAATGCAACTAAGAAGGGAAAAGATGAGAAAGAAATTACAATAAACCAAAGGTTATCTCCTCCCCCCATATTTAGGTTTGAGAAAGGTAGACAAAGAAGCTCTGACTTCAAGCACTTACGGAAGGAGTTGTTCTGCAATAGCTGGTGATAGAGCCAGTATTCCCAGCAGGAGTTGAGCCCACATTGTGTGGGTAACGCAGGTGAGGTCTGCTCCCCGTCCGGAGCATATATTCTAACTCCCCAGGCTGGGAGTGGAGCTTCCACTGAAGCCTCAGCCAATCACCTACTGGGGCCTCAGGTGAAGGTGGTAAAGGAGGGTAAGGCTTCTATTCACTTCCTTAAGTTCATTTCTCCCTGAAACGTTCATACTGGCTCAGCCAGTCCATACCTGTTTGGGAAACGCCAGAGCTAAGAATTCACAGTGGTGATGTTCACAGAACAAATGTTGGACTCCGCCCTTTATTTCTGGTTTCATTCCAAATTCTCATACCCATTTGATCTTTCCACCTTTTTTATTATTCTATTAAGACGTATTTGGGATCACAGGTATGGGAGCAGTACCCATAGGAAACCAGGATACCTCTTATCTAATTGGGAATTTTAAAAAATTAACACTGCTCAATATTGTGTCAATAAAAATGATCCAGCCATAACCAGTTTGGCTCAGTGGATAGAGCGTCGGCCTGTGGACTGAAGGGTCCCAGGTTTGATTCTGGTCAAGGGCATGTACCTTGGTTGTGGGCACATCCCCAGTGGGGGGTGTGCAGGAGGCAGCTGATCAATGTTTCTCTCTCATCAATGTTTCTAGCTCTCTGTCCCTCTCCCTTCCTCTCTGTGGAAAGTCAATGAAATATATTTAAAAAAAAAAAAAATGATCCAAAACCTTCTGAAGGCAATTTCACACTGAGCATCAAAAGCTTTTCAGATTTGCATATTCTTTGACCCAGCAACTCCTATGGAAATGCTTATTCATGAGAAAAGAGAACATGCATACATGCAAAAAAGAAAATGAATCTACATTGAGTTTCTTTGTAGTGCTCGTTACAATGCAAGACTTAAAAGCCGCCTAGAGCAGTAATGGTGAACCTATGACACGTGTGTCAGAGGTGACACGCGAACTCATTTTTCTGGTTGATTTTTCTTTGTTAAATGGCATTTAAATATATAAAATAAATATCAAAAATGTAAATCTTTGTTTTATTATGGTTGCAAATATCAAAAAAATTCTATATGTGACATGGCACCAGAGTTAAGGTTTTTCAAAATGCTGGCACGCCGAGCTCAAAAGGTTCGCCATCACTGGCCTAGAGTATAAATCAGTGAGAATACTTTCTGGACCAATGACCAAACCACCTAAAACCAATATGAACAAAAAAGAGTTTTTAGTAACTGGGGTGGATAAGATATGAAGAAAGAACCGAAGGAAACAGAAATTCTGAAGACTTTATGGTCTAGAACTAGAGACTTGATGCTGTCAGAAGGAAGCGAGGAAAATTCCTTGGCACGAGGAAATTGAGACAGGTAGTTAAAGGGCTGAGTAATTTACAGCCAGATAATGTCACCAGATCTTATCTTCCTTAACTAAGGAGCAAGTGTTTTACACATTCCACACTGTACCTCAACCCTGGTCCCTTTCCGGTAACATTATTTGCTTGTCTCTTACCGTTACCAGTAAGGGGACCAAGCCAGGAGCGGGATTGCCTAGGGCTGGCCAGTGGTGTGTGGGCTCTTGGCTCTGTGCAGAAAAGATTTCACAAGAGGAATCCAGATGATTTTGAGAGTACATGTATTAAAGCTGGGGCAGTGAAACAACGAAGGGCCTACGATAGAAAACAATAGGGGAGAGACCGGGGAGGGCTGCTTTGGCTCTGTAGAAACATTATGTTAGTAGAATGAGCAGCTTCTTCTTCAGGCTCGTATGTAAACTTGACAGAGCTGAGGAAAAATCAGTCAATATCTATCTTAAAGACAGATCAATAAAAATGATCCAAACTAAAATAAGTGCAGACAACCACATGGCAGCATAGGTAAATGCCTGTACTTACTGCCTCCCGCAACCACATCAAAACTACAACCAAAATACAGAACAACTATCATCCATAACCACAGGAAAGCTGGCTGAGTACTACAACTAAGAGAGGTAAAGAAGAAAGCTCGTTGAGACTGGCAGGAGGTGTGGAGGCACGGAATGGGCTGGTCTGGCACCCAGGTGTGCCGCTTTTTTAATTGGGAGGGAGATCGCCTCTGCAGAGGCCACCTGGAGGAGCAGGGAGTCCCAGCCCCACACCAGACTCCCAGTCCAGGGTCCCAGAGCTGGGGAAAGAACTACAGGCCATAAGAACTATGGACTGTAAAAACCAGTGCGGATTGGGGCTGAGTGACACACAGGCTGCTGGAGACCTAGCTGCTCCTCTTAAAAGGATGGCACCATGAACTGAATTTACAAGCGCCCACTTCCTCTGATCTCCAGCGCCAGCTGAGGCTCTGGGGGATCCAGACTCCTATGGGGAGAAACTGAATGGTCTGGCATTGGGGCAGGAATACGGAGGCGGCTTTCTTCCAGAGGGAGGTGCTCCCAGAGGTCATTGTTCCTGTGCTGGGACTTCCCCAGTGCAGGGCTGACTGGCAGCCATTTATGTTTGCTCCGCCCTGGTGATTCTCTGAGACGCCACCCTACCAATTTACAACCCCACCCAGCTGTGCACAGCAGCTTTTGCATATGAATGGTCTGTCCATTCTCAGCCTAAAACTCTGTTAAACAAGCTGCAGCTGGGTCAGGGAGCCCCAAACCTGTCAATAAAAGGCCCCCAAATCAGCACCAGCACCAGCCTGCCTTGCTTCACAGCTGGGCCTTGTCTGGGCACTTCCAAACCCAATACAAAGAGGAGGAATCTGCAGATCTCTCTGTAGCTCCTGCTGGGTGGCCCCAGGCAATGGCTGACTTTGCACCTCCCTGGAGACCCAAGAGCCAGTGTACCAGTGGTCAGTGTGAGACCATCCAGATTACAACACTTCACATCCATAAGTGACACACTCAAGGGGCAGATTCAGTGAGCACCAAAGCCCCACTGAAGCAAGTCCTGCACCATAAGGGTGTCTCCTGCACAGAAGCTCTCCCACTGTAGTCACAACTGGTCCCCACAGCCAATTGGCCTAGAGGTCAATTCCTCCCAGTGACACCAACAGCAATCAAGGCTCAACTACAATAAAACTGTGCACACAGCCCACAAAGGGGTGCCCCTAGAGTGTCCACCTCAGGTGATTGGGGAGGCTGAGCCACTGGGCCCTATAGGACATCTACCACACAAGGCAACTCTATCAACTCAAGGAGACTTAGTAGCTACCCAATACATAGAAACAAACACAGGAAAGCAGCCAAAATGTGGAGACAAAGAGACATGTCACAAATGAAAGAAATGGAAGAAAGCAAACTACTGGATATAGAGTTCAAAATCATGGTTATAAGATTACTCAAGAATCTTCTAGAAACCTCAGAGAAATTTAGTGAGACTTACAACGATCTTAGTGAGAATGCCAAAAAAATGGAAAAGGATCAGTGAGAAATTAAGCATACACTGACTGAAATAAAGAATAATATAAAGGTATTCAACAGTTGATTAGAAGGTCCTGAGAATCAAATCAATTATTTGAAATATGAGGAAGAAAGAAACACCCAACCAGAAGAGAAAAAAGAAAAAAGAATTAAAAAAAAATATGAAGACAGTGTAAGGAGCCTCTGGGACAACTTCAAACATACCAACATCTGAATTAGGAGGGTGCCAGAAGAATAGAGCAAGATACTGAAAACATTTGAAGAAATAATGACAGAAAACTTCCCCTACCTGGTGAAAGAAATAGACTTGCAAGTCCAGGAAGTACAGAGAATATCAAACAAGAGAAATCCAAAGAAGACCACACCAAGACACATCATAATTAAAATGCCAAGGGCAAAAGACAAAGAGAGAATCTAAAAGCAGCAAGAGAATAAAACAGTTAGTTACCTACAAGCGAGTGTCCACATGACTGTCAGCTGATTTCTCAACAGAAACTATGCAGGCAGAAAGAAGGGAGTGGAAAGAAATATTCAAAGGGATGAAAAGCAAGAACCTACAACCAAGAGCACTCTACCCAGCAAAACTATCATTTAGAATTGAAGGTCAGATAAAGTGCTTCACAGGCAAGAAAAAGCTAAAGGAGTTCATCACCACCAAACCAGTATTATATGAAACTAGAGGCCTGATGCACGAAATTCGTGCACAGGAAGGGCTCCTAGACCTCCCTGGCTGTCAATCAGGGCCGATCTGTGGGGCGACCAGCAGGGCGATCGGGGGGCCCCCGCTGGCACCCACCTTGGCTGGCCTGGGGCCTGCAGGCTGGGGGCAGCTCCCTGCATTGAGCGTGCACGTAATAGCAACCCGTTGTACCGCCGTTGTTCCACTGTTCAGTTAACTTGCATATTGGGCTTTTATTATATAGGATGCTGAAGGATATTCTTTAAGAAGAGGAAGAAGAAGAAAAAGGTAAAGATAAAAAATATGGCCAAAACCGGTTTGGCTCAGTGGATAGAGCGTCGGCCTGTGGACTGAAGGGTCCCAGGTTCGATTCCGGTCAAGGGCATGTGCCTGGGTTGCGGGCATATCCCCAGTGGGAGATGTGCAGGAAGCAGCTGATCGATGTTTCTCTCTCATCAATGTTTCTAACTCTCTATCTCTCTCCCTTCCTCTCTGTAAAAAATCAATAAAATATATTTAAAAAAAAAAAAAGATAAAAAATATGAACAACAAAGTGACAACAAATACATATCTATCAACAAGTGAATCTAAAAATCAAATGAATAAAAAATCTGATGAACAGAATAAACTGGTGAATGGAATAGAATCAGGGGCATGGAAATGGAACAGACTGACGATTCTCAGAGGGAAGGGAGTGTTGGGGGCTGTGGGAAGAAATAGACAAAGATCTTATATGCATGTACTAGTATGCATTACCTATGGACACAGACAATAGAGTGGCGAGGGCCTGGGGTGGGGAGGGTACCGGTGGAGGGGTGCTATCAGAGGAAAAAAGAGGGACATCTGCAATAATCTCAATAATAAAGATTAATTTAAAAAAAGAAAAGAAAAAAAATGATCCAAACTGAAACACAAAGACTGGGGGAAAATGGACATCATCAAAAAGAGAAGAGATAACAAATCCAAGAATCACAGAGAATTCCAAGCAAGAAAAAAATACCAAAATAAAGTACACCTAATAGCATCAGATTCAAACTGCTGAAAATCAGAGGAGGTCCTAAAGATAGCTAGAGAAAAAAGACACATTATATATAGAAGAAC